AGAAGTAGGTAAATTTACTTTGAATGAATTAAGTTATGAGGCTATGTTTTAAAGGCTTCAAGTGACTCTAAAAGTTTGATTTAAGTTTCTTAACCTTTGATGAGTGGTAATATGAAGCTTAGATGTTGTTTGGAATAAGTTGGATCAAGCTCTAGCTTAATTATGAAATTTTAAAGTGTGACAAGCTGAGATATCAAGTGTTATGTTGTGATAGAGTTAGAGGAAAGCTTAAAGGGATTTGTGTGAATTAGTTGTAACCTTGACTAGCATCTTTGTTGAGAATAGGAGTGAAAAGTGGGAGAATTAGTGTGATATTGATAGCTAATAATATTTGTGTTAATTGAAAATTAACATATAGTATTTATTATTGTAGATTGAGGTGTGGGAAAAATTGCTTTGACCAAAGAGGAAATCTAGTACCACGAGTAACCCTTTTAGTAACAAAAGGATTAAGGTAACTAGATAATTTACATTATTTATTATTCATAAGTTGTTTTTGTATGATTGATTATACATGCATATATAAATTTGTAAAAGTTAAGCAGTTTAGATAATATGTGGAGTATTGATTTGTGAAATGTTATGTTTTTAAAGTAAGTAATAAGATCTAATATATTTGTTTAGAAAGTGGTTATGCATGGTTAAGTGGAGATATGTAGAGAAATGTGACATGTTAGAGGATGAGATGTCATCCTAATAGAGTTAGTAGAGATTAAGTCCATATAGCATTACTAACACTTTGGGATGCCAAGTATAGCTCATATTTCTCCTTAGTGCTCGAAAAGAGTGCAGTATTGAAAAGTTACTCTTCTTAGTATTCAAAAGGGTGTAGAGTTGGGGACTATACTCTTTAGCATTCGTAGGATGTGATGTTGAGTAATGACACTTCAATTACTCGTAATAAGGGAAACTTGTAGTCTAGAAGTAGTTTAAGACGCCTTGGTCAAGGTAATCTTACCATGGATAGTGAGCTTGAGAACTATATAAGTGGTTTGATTTTTTGAAATAGCTTACTGGTTTGGTTGGGAGTATTGAAGGATAAGATGATTGGCAATCATGCATCATAATGTGGCGATTTATATATAGTGTGTTTGTTTTGCATATTTTAAAACTTGTTTATAACTTAGTATATTAATTAATAATGCAAATTATTTTAATTATTGAAATTTTTTTCTTACCTTGTGATTATTATTTTACAGGTTTTATTGCTGAGTTTGAGTAGGGGAAATAATTGAGTAAGGATTAGCAAATTTGCTACACTACAAATAGTAATGCCTGATTTTATTTGAGTGGTGTACATAAACTTAGTGATATGATATTATATGTTCCTAACTGATGATGCATATTATTTTGATTGGTTGCATTTGTATTATACTATATTATTTTGTATTTCAGCCTAATGTTGTATATGATGTATATATGTGGTGACTTTTATGGTAAAGGGCTAAAATACTAAAATAAATGCAAGGAATATTGTATATATGTGGTTGTCGCGCTAAAATCACGATCTCCTAAAAAAATCAATAAATGTAGGAGTTGTCATCAAAATTTTAAAGGATAATTTTGAAAACCTTTAAAAAAATAAAATGGTCTATAATAACTAGAATATAGTTCAAGAGTTAGTTGTGTATAAGGAAGGTATTAGGCATCCTATGACACTCATTCATAAAAATGGTTACCCTAAGTTGATTGTGTAAAATTAATTGGCTTTTTTAATAATATCTTAGTTATCTTTTATTGCACATGAAAAATAAAAATAAAAAAAAATAAATTATTTATTTACATGGAAGGACTTGACCTAAGATTAAAGCTTGGGGCCTACGTATCCTGTGATAGGGATTAAAGTCCATGTAGTTCGAAATATTATCATTTAGGTTTTCTTTTAATTTTTTTATTAATTCATTTTGTGAAGAGAAGATTATTTTGTGTTATATAATTCTATTTATTTTTAAATAAAAAATTGACCTAAGGAAGTACCTTTAGATAAAAGAAAAATAACCAGTATTGAAACTTGTAATGATTTAGTATCACTCACAGTCCGTTAGTTGATACTCTAAGTGCACATGATGATTTAGTATCATTCATGACAAACCCTACAGGAAATTTCTAAGTAAAAAAAATTTCTATGAAATAGTTTAATTATTAAATTTTGGAATGAAATTTGATACCTGCGATGATTTAGTATCATTCACGTTATCTTCTTTTAATATTTTAGGAATCCAAGGTGATTTAGTATCACTCATAGCATGACTTTAAATATACTAAGAGTTTTATTATTTTCATTACTTTTAACAATGAACAAGGAAAGGGAAAAGTAACAAGTATTAATCATGTGGTGATTTAATATCACTTACAGTCCATCGATTGACGCTCTAAGTGCACACGGTGATTTAATATCATTCATGGCAAACCTTAAAAAAATTTTCAAAATGAACAAAATAATTTAATTTTAAAAAATACAAAGTTTGATATCTACGATGACTTAATGTTACTCACGTTATCTTATTTGATTTTTTTTTTCTTGATCCACCGTGATTTAATATCACTCGTGGATCCTAAAAAAATGCTGACAAATTTTAATATTTTTCAAAATTTTTGACACTTGATATTTATGTTAATTTAGTATCACTCATTTTATTAATGTATCAAATATCCATGATAATTTAGTATCACTCATGTTAGCCCATTTTTTAAGGGAAAAAAGATTACAAGAATATTTTATCAAGAAGACTATGTAAATAAACTGTAATAACATTATTCTCACAACTTGTATCAAATAAAGAAAAAAAGTGAAATAATAATAATAATACTAAAAATAATAATAATAAATGAAGAATCAATGTCATGTTAGTTTAAAGCACTTTCTTATATACAAATTGATGATTCTAGGAGTCTAAGTACCATACCATTTTAGGACAAGCTCACAGCGAAAGATCTACGGTGACTTGAATTAATAAACAAATAAAACAAAAGAAAAACAATAAATAATGAAGAGTCAATTTGAAGCAAAGCCAAGAACATGTACAAGAAACCTAGGCTTTAGAATACTAGATGCTAACACTAGGTAAAAAGTAAATATGTGAAGTTCAGGAATAAGGAGCTCAAAGATCAATGGCTGTACGTGCATAGGGGAAAAGTTTCAATAGGGTTTGGATATTGACTCAAGAAGGTTTAGTTTTTCCCATTAAACACGCAAAGCTAGACAAATGAAAAAGAAACATTCACCTTCAACATTTTGCCAATGCTTTCTACCGTCTCCTCCCAGCCTTCCTTTCTTTTTTTCTCTCCTTAAATCTCTTCTCTATTCCCTTCTTTTCTTTTTCACAGCTATCTCTTTTATAAGTGCTAGCTAGGATTCTCTTATTTAATAATAAGATCAAACAAAAAAGGTAATTTTTATTTTGAATCTTTTTCATTATTTTAGATTTCAAATTTTTTTCTTAATTAATTAAAAGCAAATCCCAGTCAAAGCATAATTTTCTCAAATCAGATTTCAAATATTCTAAATTTTCTTTTAAAAAAAGTTAATTTTAATGGGAACATAACTAAGGGGATTTGGGGTAAAAAATATTATTTTTATTATTATCACAAAAGCCCCTTCTTTTTTATTCCTCTATTCCTTTATTTTATTTATTGTGTTTTTATTAATTTTTAATTTACACTTGAAAGTCCGGACAAAATACAGTATTTATAGTGGTGATAATGTATATGTGAGGTATTATGTGGTAATGATGAGGCCAAGTAATATTTATTTATGATTTTGGTGACTTCGACCACATTGGGTGAAACCAGCCTTTAGTGGCCAAATTTTGTGTTTATATGTTATTGTGTGTTTAAATGCTCAATTATGTGTTTATTCATCCATTGGACTTAGTTTAAGTCTCAAAATGGATTAATAGCATAAGTTTTGAGTTTTAGGTATTTAAATGCTTGAAAATAATTTTAAAATCTAACTTTATGCATTCAAGTGTTTAAAATTTTCATACGGTATCGAATTAAAATGAAACTCATACTATTAGTTAGTTTATTAAATAAGCTTTGCTTGGGCGCTTGAATCACTTCAATTGAACATCGGATGTGATAATGACATGTGTTTGAACTTTGCTTTGAAAAGCTATCATGACAGTATTTTATTATCATGAGACTTATGATAGGGACATATGTGTCACGACATGTTACATACAAGTCACAACACATGATGTAAAGGTTGAATTGGCCTTTCTGTGTCACATGCCACGTTGCATGAATCACTGTTTATGTGCCAGAATGTACAAAAATAGCATTTTTGGCCTTGCTTTTCAAGTATATTGCTTCCTAAACATTTTCATACTTTTTATATCTTTAAAAGTTATTAAGTTTGAGTTCAAATTATTTATTTAAAGGGTTTTCATGAGATCCCAAATGAGTTTTGAATTGGTTTTAAATGTTAAATTATTTTAAACCTTATGCGTTTGTGGTGAGCTTATGAACAATTTAAAGCTCTTAATTACCATTATTTGTTGTGATGAATGTTAGTAATATTAAAGCGGACATTACACTTATCTTCACAAATCAACCTTCCAAAGACCAAATTTATTTCCATTTGGAGGAGAGATGGTGTTGAGGTGGATTTGGGGTCAATCATTTAAAGGCTTCCCAATGGTGGCTTCATGGTGGGCAAGTTTGTCGATCGGAGAAGAAGTTCTTCTAACTATCATCTTCCAGTGTACAAAAATGGATGGTGGTCTTAGAAATGACTACAAATTGAGGAGGGTGGTAAGTGTGTTGTTTTAAAAAATAAAAATAAAATAAAGATATTTTAGTCATTACACATAACATATATTTAAAATAAAAAATTTAGAATTTAGAGATATTTTATGCATTTTAGGGGACGTTAGAATCCTTGTGAGAGATACTGCAGTGATTTTCTCAAAAAAAAAAAAAAAAAGTTTCATTGCATGCCATCAAGCCCAAAAACCCTCCTTCGAATAAAAAAAAACCAAAAACCAAAAACCCTCCGTAAGCCCTAGTTTCCCTTCGGAAGATGCCGTGACAAAACGCTCGAGCTGATTCCCGCAGTGGCTGATACGAGGCAGCGCCAATGGAATCTCTTTCACTAAAAAGAAACTACCGTCGTGTCCCTGCTCTGCAGCAGTTCTACACTGGTGGACCTTTTGCTGTCTCTTCTGACGGCTCTTTCATCGCATGTGCATGTGGCGAAACCATTAAGATCGTCGATTCGGCTAATGCATCCATAAGGTCAACCATTGAGGGCGATTCCGAGGTTGTCACGGCTTTGTCGCTTAGCCCAAATGATCAATTACTTTTTTCCTCGAGTCACAGCCGGCAAATCAGAGTTTGGGATTTATCTACGCTTAAATGCGTGCGTTCTTGGAAGGTAATTTTAGGTGCTTTTGAATTGGGTAGCTGGTGTTTCTGATTTATTCATTTTATCTGATGTACGGGGTTGACATCTGGGCAGGGTCACGATGGTCCTGTTATGTCAATGGCGTCCCACCCATCTGGGGGATTACTTGCTACAGGAGGAGCTGACAAGAAGGTCCTTGTTTGGGATGTCGATGGTGGATACTGCACTCATTACTTTACGGGTCACAGAGGAGTTGTTTCTAGTATTATGTTTCATCCTGATCCAGAGAAACAGCTAGTGAGTCCAAAGCTTCGATATCTTGGGGACATGTCTGGAACGAATTTACCATCAAACCGGTAACCTGTAACTATGGGTTTTGAGGGGGGATACTGTATTTACAGATGTAAATACACGGAATTTAACATTGAAACTAGTTGATCATGGGCCATTTCAAGTACTTATGAAAAGCTGGCATTAATTGAAAGAGGTGGAAACCTGCCATTTCTCTCCCATTTTTCCAAATTCCAATTCTATTCTAGTTTATCTAATGGTTATGCATGCATAGTTTTGTTAGTTGGGTATCATTTGCCTTTCACCATTACAGCTCATTGCAGTGACAGATGGTAGTTATCCTAATTGGGTCACTAATAACAATCGAGTAATGCAAATTGATATGATCGATTTCCTTTCCAGTGTTTAAATTAAACCTTTTCCCCCTGCCAATATGGCTTCTCCCCCCATACTCGTCTATAAATAACGTCTGCATTTCATCCCGCCTGAAATTGATCTTATTGATGATGAATTTGATCGCCACAGCTTTTTTCTGGAAGTGATGATGGTGGTGATCATGCAACTGTACGGGTTTGGGATATTTCCACGGCCAAGAGGAAGAAATGCATTGCAACACTAGATAATCATAGCTCAGCTGTGACTTCTTTGGCAATATCTGAAGATGGATGGACGTTGCTTAGTGCTGGAAGAGATAAGGTAGGCGCCACACGGCTCAATCTTATTGTTTGTCTTGTGATGTAACAAATAAATATGAACTATTGTGACATCAGTTGATATATAAATTAATTATTCAAGCATAATAATACTGATCATAATAATCACATGCACTATTGGAGTTGTACACATGCATATATTATGGTTTTGAAGTCTGTAAATGCTAACTGGAATCAACTTCATGATTTCTAAATCGTGTCAATCTTTCTGATTTGTGCTGGTTTACATGGGTCTTTTCAATCAAGTTCATTTCTTTTTGGTTTCTGTTTTGTTACTACTTGCTATGGGTACATATATATTTCGGATGATTCTAAAATCTTTTCTTGCAATATCAACTTGTGATATACTGCCAGCCAAATTGATCAGCAGAATGTTCTCAGGTTGTAACATTGTGGGACCTTCATGATTATAGTAGCAAGAAGACTGTTGTCACAAACGAGGCAGTTGAAGCTGTATGTGCAATTAGTCCTGGGAGCTCCTTTGCTTCATCTTTAGATTTATACCATCAACAGAATGCAAAGAAACGAAGTGGTTCACATGCAATCCAATTTGTTACAGTTGGTGACCGTGGAATTATACGGATTTGGAGTTCTGAAGGGTAATATAACTTTGTCAGTGCTTTAAGTATAATGGGGTTTAATGTAGGACCTTCATGTGATTATATCTAAAAAAGGCATCAGTTATAGGTGGAATGGTGCAATGTTTCATGATATTTTTTCTGTTGACAGTGCAGTTTGCTTGTTTGAGCAAAAGACTTCTGATGTTTCAATCAGCACTGATGAGGATGGCTCACAGAGGGGTTTCACTGCTGCTACTATGCTTGCCTTAGATCAAGGATTGCTTTGTGTGACTGCGGATCAGCAGTTTCTTGTTTACTCTCTAGAATACAGCGATGGGTACTTGCAATTAAACCTAACCAAAAGACTTATAGGGTATAATGAGGAGATTGTGGATATGAAGTTTTTGGGGGATGATGAGAAATTCCTTGCTCTTGCTACCAATCTTGAACAGGTACTGAATTTTGCATTTGCTATCTAGAAAATTTGCAAACTGGCTGCGTTCAGGTAGAACTGTATTTTGTATTAAAAAAGTTACAACTGCGTTTTTTTCATCAACCTAGTTGTAGAATTACATGAATTTTCAATCCATTTCAAGTAGAACATACCAGTGCTGCAAAAGACTAAACTTTCCTGAACTAAAGGACATTGTGTCTGCGTTTGGTTGTTTATACTTATAGTGTTTAGGTGATTATTTGTGACACCACCTCAAGGTCTGCAATGCAGAGTATCTATCAATGAATGTACCCAGTGATGTGCGGCATAAAATTTGTGTTAATGACTCTTCTGATGATGTACATATGATTTTCGGGAAAATAAAACATGCTGTACAGTCAAGACTAAAAGTATTACCATATTAAAAAGGATTTAAAGGAGAACCAAATTTTAGAATAGACTCTATTTTGTGGAGTTACTTGGTAATTGGTTCTGTCAATTTTCATGTTATGATCGTATTGAAACCTTCAATTTCTCAAAATGACAATGGTGGGTTCATTCATGTATGCACATCAGAGATGATTTTGAATTTTCATGATGTGATGAATGCTATGGTTATGAAGAGTTAATTTGTATCGATGCTTGCCTATATTAGGTAGTACTTCCTTTAGTCTTATTTATGAGTCACTTCCAATATTTTCACCAGAACTAAGGAAAGCCTTAAACCTCATTAATTTTGTTTAAAAATTCAGTAAGTTTCTAATTTATCCCTATTAAATATATATACTTTATAACTTTAACAATAAAATATTCTAGCATTTAACCATCTTCTTAACATTTAATAGGAGCAAAAGGGTAAAGATATACGCAATAATCATTGGGATGCCTTATAAATAGAACTAAAACAAGTACTCTCTTTCTCTGCCTATAAATAGGACTGGAGGAGTAATTGTTACAACTATCTCATAACCTTAATTACATCAATGTTTTATCTTTATATAAATTAAATGTTAAGCTGTTTATGGCTTCTAAGAGAAATGTGATTTGATGTACCGTTGAGCAAGAGAAAAGAAAAGGCCAGAAATTTGAAAATTTCTCATAATAGTATTTTGCAACAAATTGCATAATGCCCCCAATCTAATTTTAAAGTGACAATTAATGATAATGTAAATATTTCATCTATGCTGTAGTGTCAAGCTATTAACCAAAATTCCAAAATAAAGGATAACAGGAATAGAATAAAATTCACATTGATGTTAATGGGATTAAAATGGTTGATGAATGTAAGGTGTTTGAGTTTTGATTGACCCTTAAATGTGTATCTTTGTTCTTAGGTAAATCAAAGTTGATGTTTAACTGTTTAAAGTTTTCATGTCATATCTAATGTATACCTAACTTGGAATTGCAGGTACGGGTTTATAACCTGGCATCCATGTCATGTTCCTATGTCTTAGCTGGTCATACAGACATTGTTCTATGTGTTGATACCTGTGTATCAAGTTCTGGAAGAACAATGATTGTTACTGGAAGTAAAGACAACAGTGTAAGTTCAATTTCTTCTTTGCTTCCAAGATTATTGTGAAGAGTTTTCACTTTCTTCCATTAAGTTCATAATATGATTCCAGTATACTTGTGTTTAAGTATTTTGTATTAGTCATATGCATGGAGGATTTTTAATAAAATATGCATAGTGAACTTTTGCATGTTCACTTCCCGTGTAGGTTAGGTTGTGGGAAACAGAAAGCAGAAGCTGCCTTGGAGTAGGCATAGGTCATATGGGTGCTGTTGGAGCAGTTGCCTTTTCAAAGAAGAAGCGAGACTTTTTTGTTAGTGGTAGCAGGTAAGTGTTCATGCATTCACTATGAAAAAAAAATATTTCATCTAAACTTGTTCGCAATAGCTCCTACATTCTAGATTCCCTTTTTCTTTTTCGTTTTTGTCATAAATGTGATAAGAAATGAACATTTAAATATCTAAGGAATTGAATTACACTAGTTGCAATGGGTTTAACTTGAGAACAGAGGAAGATAGTTGGTAATTTATGCTATCTGTATATATCATGTCCTGCATTGCTTTTCGTCGCACAATAACATTTTATTTAGCTTCATTAAACAAAACAAAAGAAATCCTTGCTCTAGCCGAGGAGGTACTGTCTTCAAGAATCCTTTTTAAGGTCGATTGATGTCTAATGTCTGGAAATTTCAAGTCATAATCCTATTTGCCGTACTGCAGCTAATTTATTGTGTCTTTACATGGAGAAAAGTATATTGTAATATTGAGGAAATGCTTTGACTCTGGATTATGACCAGAGCTTACATGTTAGAACTTGGTCCTGGGAAATGTTATGTTGTAGTTTAGATAGCATCATTTAAAAAGGCTGAATGCCAATCATGTGAAGTAAGTGGAGTCGATCATAGTTGGTGGCGTTCTCTTCCCTAAAACTTGAAAAGAAAGAGAGATTAAATTACATTTTATTAATGGTTTGATTATATCCTCCTCTGGCTCTCCTTATTTTGATTTTGGAATCAATATCTGGAGAACCCCTCTTGTTAAATCTACACTTCTTGCCCCTCATTTTTTGTGCCCTTGACTAATCATGTTAGAAGGCTTCTTTTATCTTATGCCAAAATCTTCTACCAATTAATTATTCTATGAAAACATGAAACTTAATTACCTGCTTCTTTCTGCCATGTTAACTGAATTTTGCGGTTTGTTGCTGGAGTTTATGGTAGAATTTTTTTTAATATTTATATAATAAGCTTTCATGCATTGTATCTTTATCTAAAAATTTATCCCTTACCAATCCATTTTACCATGTTTCGCTTCTTAGTGATCATACTCTAAAGGTGTGGAGTATAGCTGGCCTCTCAGACAATTCGGCACTGCCTATCAGTTTAAGAGCAAAAGCTGTTGTGGCAGCCCATGACAAAGATATTAATTCTGTAGCTGTTGCTCCAAATGATAGTTTTGTATGTAGTGGTTCTCAGGTTGGTATTATTCTTATGAAAGCTTTGTTTTGGCCTTAAGTATTTCTTATCAAAAAAATAGGACTGCTTCTTGAGTTCTTTATAGTGTTTTTTATTAAGTTTTAATGCTTCATGCAAAAAAGAAAATGCAATAGCTACCAAGGTTCTTGAATTTCTTAGTTTTCAGTTTTTGAATAGAGAAATTATGAAGTTACTGCTTCAGTTTGCCACGACTTCCTTTCTTGTTCACACATCAGGATCGCACAGCTTGCGTTTGGAGACTTCCAGATCTAGTATCAGTAGTTGTTCTCAAGGGGCACAAAAGGGGAATTTGGTCTGTAGAGTTTTCTCCAGTGGATCAGTGTGTCATAACAGCATCTGGTGATAAGACAATAAGGATATGGGCTATATCTGATGGCTCATGTTTGAAGACATTTGAAGGGCACACTTCAAGTGTGTTAAGAGCATCATTTCTTACTCGTGGGACACAATTTGTTTCTTGTGGTATGAAGCCCTCTGGAACCTATTTAGCTCTCTTCGATCATTTTGATAGCATTTGTCATTTAGTTTAATCAATGTTTTAGGTGCTGATGGTTTGGTAAAGCTGTGGACGGTGAAGAGTAATGAATGCATTGCCACTTATGATCATCACGAAGACAAGGTGCTGGTCAATGTTTTGCAATATGTTTTGTTGAATTTATTAGTCATGTAATATAATATTTGCCCTAGTTTCTACCTCCATATACATTATACAGTGGGAAATGTTTCCATTATTCGTTTTTATGCTTACTATTCTCCAAAGGAATTGATAATCCGTTTTTTGTTGACCCGCCAATTTCATTAAAAATTTCACCTGGTTGAATCTTTGCAATACACCATTATATTCCAAGATGCTTTCAATATTACGCTTGATTGCTCCCACGTGCAGCTTTATTCATAGCTGTTTAATATCAGCTTCTGTTTTTTTTCCATCTTCCCTCTAGAAATCTACATAAAGACATGGAAGAATCCAAATGTGTTTGTCCTATATTTTTTCTGAATAAATGTGACCTGCAGGTTTGGGCCTTGGCTGTCGGTAGGAAGACTGAAATGCTTGCAACTGGTGGCAGTGATGCTGTTGTCAATTTGTGGTTTGACTCCACTGCTGCTGACAAAGAAGAAGCTTTCCGTAAAGAGGTGAGTCAAACTTATCCTCTATTTTGGTGCCTGCAGAGGTTAAAGTGTGGGGAAATTTCGTTGCAGTGATTCTTAATATGTTATGTCTCACCACAAAAAGTCTTCTGTTCCTGTTGTCATGAATTTAATTTTAACAATCAAAACCAGTTGCATTCTACAAATTTGACTGAATGAAGTATTAATCAATCAAAATGTTGGAACTCAAACAAACAATCAAGAAAATGCAAGAGAAGTACCAGAATTTATAGAATTCAGAGAGCAAAAACAGGGATAACTGGCAATCTACCATATAATGGCAGAATGCCTTCACAAAGAAAACATGAAAATATGCTGCAGAGATAAAACAATGGGAAGCCTTTGAGATGCTAGCTATCTCCCGTATCCACTGCATAATTTATTTCGTAACCTTTTACTTTCACTTCCTTCACTCTTCTTATGGAGCGTTTCCTGACTAACTTCTAGAAACACTTAACGAGAGCCTCCCACTAGATTCTTCTTCAGCCAACCTTCGTCCTTGTTGGTTACACAACCTTCTCCCTTACCCCGTGCATATATTTTCTAGCATGTATTGGGGGCGCATCACGAGGTTCTATTTTTCATGCAGTTTGCTTATACTTTCACCAGTCTTGATGTTCTTGTAAAAGGTGGAATAACTAACACTGCATAAGAAGTATGTTATAGAAAATTCACTAGTTTTCATACCTCACTGCCATCTGGAGGTTGAAGATTAAGTGATCTATCCTTCCTTATGCTTGTCCTTGTTTCCATAGTTTATGTTATAAGGTTTGAATCTAGTTCACTCTTACTCTTTAAGGTTTTAGAATAGATCTCCAAGTCATTGCAACGTTTTGTCTGCAAAATCTATATACAGTAAGTACAATATCTTTGAGTTTTGTTCTACTCCAGTTTGTCCCCAAGTAGGGGTTCATCGTCCAGATCCTGTTTTTAGGCGTTGCTAAATCCTTTTATATTTGGCGGCCCCCCCAAAACAAAAAAACAAAAATCAAAAAAACAAAGTGCCCTGCTTCGTCATAGATGATTTCTGATGTTGATTCAGGAAGAGGGAGTTTTGAAAGGACAAGAACTGGAGAATGCTGTCTCGGATGCTGATTATGCTAAGGCAATCCAAATTGCTTTTGAATTGCACAGGCCCCATAGACTATTTGAGTTACTCGCAGAACTTTGCAGGTTTGCATTGGTTTCTCTTTTTGTTGTCTATGCTGTTATTGATGTATAAGTAACACAAGTTTTATGCAGGAAGAAAGAACCTGAAGATCACATAGACAGAGCCCTTAAGGCTCTGGAAAAGGAAGAGTTGCGCATACTGTTTGAATATATTCGAGAATGGAACACAAAACCAAAGCTCTGTTATGTTTCACAGTTTGTGCTTTACAGAGTTTTCAACATCTTTCCTCCAACGGATATTGTTCAGGTTGCACTTTTCCATTTTCTATTGCTGGTTTCTTGCAGCTATTAATTTATCTATGCATTGGTGACTTGTCGCAATACTTAGTGGCTAAATTGCTTTACTAAGCGTGGAATAGGGGATTGATTTGAAGAACTAACATTTGCTGGTTTTACTACCTTGGTTGATAGTGATTCAGTTGGATGTTTGATGGGTTTAAATAACATTGGAAATTATGTTGATTGCTTGTCCGACTGTATTCACTTCAAAAGCAAATTGAAAAAAAACTAAATTGTGTTTCATGCATTTGCAAAGAGGCTAAGATGGGTTATACTATTCAATATTCATGCCTTGCGAATAGTGTAACTCTACTTTTTAATGCTCCCTCCTCCCCATTTTATAAGATGTTTTTTTGGTAAGATTGTGAATGCCAATGAAGTTAATTAATTACAGTTTGGAATCTTATTTTCTCCAAAAGAAATATAAATTGCCAAAAATATCATTCATCTAATAAGGGGAAGAGAGAAAGATATTTAAGGAGTGAAACAATGAGGGGTAATTTTAGAATAAATTTTGTTACTTAATCTTTATTTTTCTCAAAACATCTTATATTACGGAAAATCAAATCACTAAAAAAACATCTTATAGATTGGGGCAAAGAGAGTATATATTATATTTAATATTGTTACTCATAACTGTATTGGATGATAGACACAAATTTTAGTTGGTTATATATTAGTGTTGTCAGGCTCAGGCATTGGAAAGGTAACAAAGAACATGAAAATAAGGTAGCGGTGATGAGGATATTTAGATGGCTGTTTGATTAGCAAAAAAGGTAAGATCTGTTGTGATTCTATCGGAGGAAAAGTTTGTCGTGGCATCTATTCAGGAAAAAAAAATGGTAGAGAATTGTTTAAGAGGGTTCCGTCATGTGTAAAGAAGGCTGACGGCGAGGGTTGAGGATATATAATCTTTAACTTTATAAGGAAATGTAGGGGACACCAAGAAGAATACCTAAGGTTATCAGCTGGGATTTATTGGTGAACGGTACATCAGAAGGGTTTGTTGTCAATGGAGTATAATGGTGTCTTGTGATGCATATAGTTGACATCACATAACGGGATAAGGCTTGTTATTCTTGTTGTTGTTGTTATTCTTGTCTTGTTATTCTTGTGATGCATATAGTTGACATCAGCAGTACCTCCAAGATTTTCATTACTATTATGTAAGAACTTAATATAAAATTTCACTGCTCTCTTCTGCGGCTTTTTGGTGTGAAAGCTATTTCAACACGAGAACGTTGCAGATTCGAGACACAGTTGGGAAAATGACATTAGAAGGACCCTGACGTAATAATATAAAATTTCTGTTCATTTTCTGGCCTCTACAAGGCGGGTAGATTTGAGCTGTGATTCTGTACTGTTTCCTATCCTCCTACCTCTCATATATATACCATGCAAAATAAATTAACATCCATGCTTGACTGACTTAGCTGATTGGATGTTTCAGATGAAAGGCATTAGGGAACTTCTTGAAGGTCTCATTCCATATACTCAGAGACACTATAGCAGGATAGACCGACTTATTAGAGGCACATTTTTGTTAGACTACACTTTAACAGGAATGTCAGTTCTTGAACCAGAAATTCAACCGACAGAGCTGAAAGTCCATTCTTTGTCGCATACCGAAAACAATCATACTGACGAATATGTCATTTTGGAGCAGGATCGCACTCAAGAAAATGCTGCTTCCAAGAAAAGGAAGTCAAACAAATCGAAACAGAGTTCTCGTAAGAAAACCAAGGGTGTATCTTACACCAAGGTTGGACCTATTGAAGGACAGGCATAATATGAATGTGATCATCCCCGGTTGTTTTGGATGGATTGATCAATATATGGGCTGTTCTGGTAAATTCTAATTTTAAAAATGCAGCTGTCGTTCTCCAGCTTAGCAGTGGAAATATTTTGTCGCCGGCTTCATTCTTGTAAATTAATTTGAAGTTTTGCTCTCTATGCGAGTTAGAAAAACTTCTCCAGCTTGTCAAGAAACTTGTCAAAAGAACGATTATTATTCATTATTCTGTGTCATATTCAATTATATCATGATCGATTCAGCCGAGTTACGGAGTTATTGGCTGCACTAAATACCACACAAGGCATTGTTGTGATGTTGAAGATGCAGTTGCTTTATATGTATATAAGTACATACATATATACACATATAAAGGTTAGGTGAGTTGGAAACAGTTGCTTTCTTCATTTGAAACATTATTTACAACTTTCTTAATTAAAGTTAATTATAATTTAGCTGATAATTTTAAAATGCAACACAACAACACTGAACAATTATAGAAATTAAAAGTTGTGAAGTTGGGAATGGAGATTAATATTTAATTTCTAATAAGTTAGTATAATGATAGGTTATAATCGTACTCTGGCATTGACTGATGCTTCCAAGGCTCAAGCAGAGCAAGTTTATGCCAATGCCCCTCACAATTAATATTTCTTGTTATTTACCAAAAATAAATATTTCTTATTGTTGCCATATTGTTGTATCCGACTAATGAGTTTAATTTGTCCCGGAATTTAGTTGATTATGAATTCTCTCACGTGTCTCCTGTTTGCACCAGAAAATTGGATTCCTAGGCCAGTCCTACTCTTACATCTGAGAATAAATTGGAGAATTTTCAGATTGCGTTAAATTTACTATAAATTGAGAGAGAGATGAATTTAGTAAGATTGTGTTAAACGTTTTTCTAAATTAAGAAAGAAGGAAAAATTAAAAATTATTTATTTTCATCATCTGTCTAGCTTAATAAGACATTTTTCATGTTACTGACTTCATAGAACCTTGTTTCCTCTAAAATTTATTGTTCCAATGTTTTCAATATCATAAAAAGGGCAGACAAATCAATCCAACAAGGTATTAAACTCTAAAATCGTGTCCAAATTTTCCTTCAAATGTTATCTTCCTTCAGCCAAACAACTAAAAATAATACACAGACGCAAACAAACGCGGTGACTCATCGTAAGTGAAACCAGAACATGAATCATATGAATCCCATTTTTATATAATATCAGAGGTAAACCATACACCGAAGACTTTCTTGCGACATCCCATAGAATTTTTAATCACATATTGATATAGAGCAATTGAAGTACTCAATTGTCAATTCTCAATTTCAATACTCATTAATCAATTACAGCATTGTTGTTTCAAGACCACAACATAAATCTCTGTTAATTCATTCACGCAACCTGACTTTTTGTTGAGCTGTTTTATTTCATGGGCAGCGAGTTGATTATTGATTATTAACACAATGCTGAAAGCCAAAGCCCATAAAGGCATCGAAGCATAGACAGCACTAAATTATTTACTCCATATTAAGATACCTAGCTGACTAGCTCCCATACCTGCCAAGAAACACAACCTACTTAACACTACTAGAAAGCCACTAGTATGGCTGTATTCATCACGATTCTACGCGTGGAATAATCAAGCAGGGGCAGCCTTCTCTCCAGAAGCAGAATTTTTACCACCATTTCCACTAGCACGCCTAGTTTCATAGTCTTTCACAGCTGCTTTAATGGCATCCTCAGCGAGCATGCTGCAGTGAAGCTTAACTGGCGGAAGTGAAAGATGCTTCGCAATTTCCCTGTAGAATATCAGTCATTTGGAACATTTCAGCTTTCAACATGACAGTAGACCAGAACCGTTAAGAGAAACAACAGAGCTAAAGATAGAATCAATATTCATGATTATTTTAAGGTCCAAAACCAAAACCAACTATAGCAATCTCCCGAAAAGTCAATGTATTTGAAGAAATATAAAAATCAGATATGAAGGGTGTACTCTTCATGAATTCCATAATTTATATAACCATAGATGATCCACTTTCAAAACCAACCAGGAGACCACATCAAAACTTCATCTAAAATAACTAATCATACATAGACGTGGCGAGCGCAGGTATAGGTGAAAGAAACCTCTTTATATCTTCCACACCTGACATTTTAATCAGATGAACACACATTCCAATCATCAATTGACCATTTTAATCAGATGAATGCATATTCCAAATATTCATCAATCTCTTGTATAATTAAATTCAACTTCCTCTATGCTTGTGGCCATCTGACTTTGCTCACTTTTGTGGAGGACCAAAGGTCACAGACCCATTACTGTACGTGCAAACAAATATAGAGTGGCAAGGAAAATTTAGAAAAGGAGCTAACCTCCAGCAAGTAAATCATAATCACAAAAAACCTCAGATGGCAAGAAACTCAGAGCAGGTTACTTTTATTTGATGACCACCACCCAGTACGTTTGATGTCTCATCTTGACGAGGAACATGTAACAAATTTCATGTCCTTTCTAGAAGTCGGAGTTAGGAACTTACGAGTTTTTAATGGAAAGAGCTTCTTCCATTTGCTTTCCCTTTACCCATTCCGTAGCTGAAACGTGAGAAATTAAAAAATTTGAAAATTCTTCAATAAGGATTAAGCTACAATAGGATAAATTGACAGGCAAATCAACGGGAGGAAAAAATAAACTACAGAATTTCGGAAAGAAAACATCATTCAAAAAGGTAGCGTCCCAAACCACGAAAACACGGCCTAGAAAAGTACCTATCCAACCGGACTCGTTTCAATTTCTCAATTATACCAAAACTGCGCAGTCCAAAAAGAAATTTCACAAGAAAAAGTACCTAGAGAGGAAGAGGCAATGGCGGACCCACAGCCGAAGGTCTTGAAGCGAGCATCAACAATCTTACCGGTCTCTTCATCAACCTTAATCTGAAGCTTCATAACATCCCCACAAGCCGGAGCACCAACCAAGCCCGTGCCCACGTTGGGGTCATTCTTATCGAAGGATCCAACATTCCGGGGATTGTTGTAGTGATCAACAACCCTCTCGTGGTAAAACCGAGGCAGAAGCTGGGATGTCGGCGCCTCCCGCAGCGCGATTCCGGTAAGTCTTTTGCAAGCGAGCCTCAGCATTTTGTCCCCGAATTTGATTCAGCGTCTTATTCTGGCCTTTTCACTGATCACTCCTCAATTCCTCTTTCATGCCAGGAACAAGAAAAAAATAAAAATAAATAGGGTTCCTCCAATGGCGGTTCCACTCATCCTCCTTCCTTGGTTTGGGAATCTTCTGGGCCGCGGCTACGTGTCAAAAAGGTTTTGCAAATGCAACCGATATAAACCTAGGGAAAATTACACATAGGTCCCAATTTTTTTAGCCAATACTCCTTGGTCCCATAAAAGGAATTTATCTACAAATAAATTCTGCAAATTTCATTTAATATTTATTGCTAACAGCTTTTAAGGGATTTAGGTGTGATTTGAATTTTAGATAAAAGGACTTGTATACCCTTAGTTAAAAAGAAAAAATGTTTTAAAATTTTTTTTCTCTACAACTCAAATTTTATGGTTGAGTATTTTAAATTTTTGCTCTCTCTATATACATACTGGAATTCTAATGTTACCTTTTATCTTCATTGTTGGACCTTTCATTGCTATAGCTCTTCATCACCTTCATACAACCTCTCCATCGCTCCCAACATCAAAACACGGGTGTAGTATTGCTTTTCAACTTTTCCCTTGTAAGTTTATTATGCGTCTTTCTAATTTTTCTTCTTCTTCTTTTTATTCTCAATAAATATGCATTCACATCTTGACACTAGTAAGGATATTAACACCTCACCCTTTTGCATTAGGTGGTGTTTTTTTGAAGTATATTCTTAGATGCCCTCATGCTTGCTTTTCATCATTGAATCAACAAATGTTGGTTTATGTGTGTTTATAATTTTTTTGCTCTCATGTACCCGATAAGTTTATCATATTTCTTTTGGCCCTCTTCAAGGTAGATTAATAAAAGACATCTTAATTTTTTGACTGATCGGAAACTTATTGCAACCAAGTAAGAACTAGGGAACTAAAATATTTATCTACCTAATACAATCTAATTAGTTATGTATTAATTATATACAGCACAGAACGCGCAACAATTGTATAAACGCATATAATTGCAATGTAGGTATGAGATTATGTCTCTCTGTTTTTTTTTTTTTTGGAAAGGGGAGGGTGGGATGACAATGAAAATGGAGCTTTACTTGAGAGTTTAGGAGAATGTGTTTCATTCAATGTATGATTGAGGCTACTTCTTTGATGCTAAAAATAGATGTAGTGTTTTGATGGTACTGCACTATTTTGGTGTAAAAATGAATTTTCAACTATATTAACTTTTGACATATGTGAAAAGGAGATGTTTGTTTGAGAAGTTAAATTTGAAGGTTTACATATTATGAAGAGAAAGTTGTAAATAATTGAAGTAGTTGATGAGGTGATTGTAAATATTTAAAAAGATAATGTTAATGTTGTTGAGAAATTATAACAAAATTTTTACTTGTTTTTTACAAGCATACGTGAATGATAGTGAGTTTTTTGCAATATTTAGAGAGCTGAATCAAATAATTAAACTGGTTTAACCGTTGATCGAACAAGCAAGTTGCTTAATGTGATCATTTATACTTTTTTATAAATTGAATTAGGTTGAATTGTTGTGAATTGAAAACCGAAATCAAGCGGAGCACCGGCAGGGATTTTAAAAAACTGAACGAGTTTTAGAGATTGGTTGCTACTGAACTGAAGAAGAAACAAGAAGAGGAAGGAAGAAGCATCAACGGAAAAAACCAGCACATACCTTCACGATGATTTTACAACAGCAATGGAAATAATGAAAAGCCTGGAAACAAAGTCATAAAGATGAAGCACCTACTACACCCTTTGAAATGGAATAACTGAATGCAACAAAGAAGAAAGAAAATGAAAACTTCGCATTGAAGCAAGAAGAAGAAACGTCATTCACCACGAGAGAAAGGGGTACTGTAAAAGTCTTATAAAATGTGCTTTTTCAAATTTAAAACGGCTAACTCCTCACGTTTTTTGACATACTGATAAATGAGAAAGTCAAAAAAATTACTCTTACAACAATATTTTAAATATTCTAATAAAAAATAAGAATTTTGTTCGACACTTTTATTTTCCAATAGAACTTTTTTAAGATTTTGAAAATATATATTTTGTTTTCCTCAAATATAATATTAATTCATAGTTAATTTAATGAGAAAAAAATAAAATTATTTTTAAATTTATTGTTAAGTTCTTTAAAAATAATATTTTATTTCTTATACATATATTATGTATATATGTATATAATATTATTTTTATTTAATTATCATATTATCATTTTCACTGACGGTTTAATAGGTTGGACTATAAAAATCATGATCCATTGTCCCTTTCAACTCAACATCTAATTCAATTTTTAGAACATTTGGTTTTTGTTAAAACAAGTAAATTGTCATTGTCGTGTGACGGTAATGAAGAGGGAAGGCAACCTTGACCAACGGAGATGAAGACGATGAAGCTCTCCGGCAATGGCATGCAAAGAGCCTTTAGGGTTCAAACGCAGAGAAGGGGAAAATTGTGGGATATTCAGCGATGATATTGCATTTGAGTTGTTTTGGAGGCTTTTTTTTTTTTTTTAATTAAGTATGGGGAATAAAAGCCTTTTCCCCTAAAATCCAAATCACACTTCGGCTGTTTGGGACCTATCTGTAATAAGAAAAATTTGTGAGATTTTTTTTATAAATAAATTATTTATATGGGATCGCTACATAATTTTTCTTATAATATATACCCCTTTGCTAAAAAAAATACAGAATTTTATAACTGTATCTGATAATTGAAAAAATGTTTAATGGTTTATTTGTTAAGAGTATTTTTTTAAAAAAAATTCATTGATCATAAATTGAAAAAAAATGTTTTATATTTTTTAATGTTTAATTTAAAAATTATTTTATATTTTTAAATGAAACAAATATATAAAAAAATGGAATGAGAATATTATTATAATTTAGTTTTAAAATTTACTATTCATTCTTTTTTACATTCTAGAACTAATTTTTCTTTTTATTGAATGATGTTTGGTTCAAGTGATTGAGAGAATTAAATCAGTATATGATTCAAACAAGAGATCTTAATATAAAATAATTTAATTCTTTTGATCAGTTGAATTAAGCATCCTTTAATTAAAGCTTTAATTTTTTTTAAAAGGTTGAATTTCACTCTTTTTTATAATTAAAGAAGTGCTTCCTTCATCCCTATTTATAAGATATTTTAACCAAATTACGCAAATAAATAAAATTTAATTATCTACTTAAAAGCATAGTAATATTTTAATTTTACCTTTAATTATTGTAAATAAAAAAATAATTCTTTTTTTTGAAAACAAATTTAGAAGTACTTGTCTTTTTTTTTTCTAATGTAATAAGGGTACAATAGTTTATTTATTAAAAAATATATTGACAACCTCTTATATTTAGGAATAAAAATTATTTCAAAAAATATCATATATATATATATATAAGGACGGATGGAGTAATTTACAGAAAAATTAAGTAATTTCCTCTTTCTGCATTAAAAAATTGTTTCCTCCCATTCCTTTGAAGTTATAAAACATTTTCAATAAAATTATACATACTAATTAAGTACATTAAATATAATTTATGATTTTAACATTTCTATAAACTTTCGAATTACCTTTCATTAATAAGAGGGTGGAAAAAATTTATTTAAGGAGTGAAATAATAAGGGTAATATTAAAATAATTGAATTAATAAATTTTATGTTCATCAAAACATCTTATTTTTTGAGACATAGATAGCCTTTAAAAATATTTTATAAATGGAGATAGAAGTAATACAATATCTAATCATTTATGACATCATAAAAATATTAAAAAAGCAAGCAATTATTTATTATGGAGAGGGGCAAACTAGTGAAGCTCGTCAAACCTGCCTATTTAAGCGTTTAACTTGAAGCTTAGGCTCAAGGTTAATAGGCTTTAAAGATTATTTAAATTTAAATGAGTCACTTCTAATGTGCTAAAAAATAAATGAGTTTGCCTTTTAGAATTGATGGTCGACCTGTTTAAATCTTTTATTATTTTTGTATACTCTAATTTTACATGTGAGAAGATAAAAGAAGAGGGCGGGAACATAATATGAAAAGAAAGAGATCGGAAACAAATCTTGAAAAAGAGTGTCATTTTCACTCGTGCTCACTATAATTTTGCTGCTGCTTGTTGGTTTTAATTTTTATGCTCTTGCATGTCGCACTGTGAGCCATCGTTTGCTCCAACATGTCTTATTAGAATTATTTTTTAAAAAAAAATTATTGATTATGTCTAAAAATTTAATACTTCCTTTATTAAAAAATGTCTTGAAAGGTTGGATATTAAAAAATTTAAGATATTTTTAATCTTTCAAGATGTAATTATTATTTTTTAAAAAAATCCTTATTGAATAAATTATTTTATATTTATTTTAAGGTAAAATAATCTATTAAATAGAGATAAATATAAAAATATATAGTTAGTTTGATGTTAAATAATTACTTTATTAAAAAGTAAGATTTGATTAAAAATATTTTATATTTTTAAATAGGAAGTAATTTTTTAACTTTTTTTCCACTTAATATATATCCATTAACAAATATTTTTTTCTTTCAAAACATTTAATGAAAAGTAAAAAAAATTATAATAAAAATTGAATAGGACAAAAAAAATTTTTACCCTATAAACAAGAGCAAAAAGAGTATATTAGTATCTAAGTATGCAATTAAACTTATATATTTATTTGAAAGAATCTTTTCTTGAAAATATATAAAAATATCTAAAACCAACAGACCGATCCTAGGCCCGCAACCGCAAGTTCAAGGGTTCAACTTTACTGATGAGATCTTCTCTTGATAAATAAATTTTTCAAGCTCAACTTTTTTAAGCCAAACCAAAAAAGGTCTGCTTCCCTTTTAATTTAATTATTTTAAAATTCATCATTTTCTAAAATTTGATTTTTATTTAAAAGATTCAAGGTTAGATTTATAAGCTCACTTTTATTATTACCTTTTATTTTTTTTGAATTTTTTAAAATAAAACTTTCAACTATAATATTTTATATTTTTTAAAAATACAAGTTATAATATTTAAAAATTAAAAATAAATAATAAAATTTTTTATATTAAGGTATAAATATATATTTTAAAATTTAAATTTAATTTAATAATTAAATTTTTTTTCTTAAAAGTAAAAATGAAACGGGTTTAAAAAGGTCATCTTAATTTGAGTCCAATTTTTTTAAAAAAATATTATTTTTTTTTCAAATATCAAACCCTTATGAAAATAAATTTAAATGGATTGCTCATTAGGCTCGGCTGTTATTACTCACTTTAGTTAGGATATGCAAGTAGGCCTGTTTTTCTACCTCAAAATTCTGTCATAACCTTTTTTTTTTTTTTTGAAAATAAGTTAACTATTGGAAGATCACAATAAGTTGAATTCAAGAAACGCCGTGTGGCCAACTAATCGATTGGTCGTCAGTTACCTCATCTGCAGTACAAGTCAGAAACATGTTGCTCAATTTTTCGGACGTCTGATTGGTGATCAAATCGCTGGCCCGAGCGAGGAAGCTTGGGCAGTTGTAACTTTCAATGAGGCCTCAGATCGTGTTGTTTGGAGATTCGTTAACGGAGCAATCCTTCCGACCTGGTGGATGGGGTGCTGCTCTTGCCAACTCCTATTCTCGCAAGGTTTTTTCCCCCCTCCTTTTCTTTTCTTCTTCTTTGTTTTTCTCATTTGTCCTTGTCGTCATCAGAGATCCAAAATTGTCTTCGGATATGCTTCAGAAATTAATGAGCTTTTATATTCTCTCATTGCGAAGGCTGATGTCCTCATTCGTGGATATGGTGGATACAACACAAGATGGGCTTTGTTCTTGCTGCATCACATATTCCCTCTGGTAATTGGCTATACTCATCTTTATTTCTTCACTAATATGTAAGTTTACATCATACTTCCAGCTGTTAAACTAGGGTATGGTTAGGCATTGATCCTTTTGCCTTGTGTATGGATCATTCAGCTGCCATTGTTGGTCATTACTAAAATCACTTAACTCAAAGTAGCAGGCATGCAATTTTCCTTTTTTGGGTGTTTTTAAAAATGGGCAATCCTTTTTTTTTTTTTTGGGGTAAATGGAAGAAAAATTTTGACTTGACATACAGCTTTTGTTAAGCACGAGACAAAATGAAAGAGGCTTGTTTAATCAATGGGCTCCTCTACAACTGCTCTGATTATGTACATTTGGTAGCCTTTGAAGATTAGGCTTAAAGATTCAACAATCTGCTAGTTTTGGCTGCGTTCGTTGTGATGGATTGATTCAACATTGGACCTTTCATCGACATCATCTGGATTTCATATAATCTTTTGACACTTGCTGCAACGACGGTGAAGTTTTATTTCCTCGTGATGCATAATTTGCCTAAAGAAAATCATTTAGTCTGTGATATTGCAATGCAGTGCTTGATAATGTATTGGAGGTTTGACAAATCGCTACATTAATGGTTGAACTCCCAATGTTTTAATGGCATGGCTTCTTTCTCAGGTCTCGACCAAACCTCCTATTGCTACCACAATTTTCTTTGGCGCTAATGATGCGGCTTTGTCAGGAAGAGGTAGTGAAAGGCAACATGTACCTATTGAAGAGTACAAGGAAAATCTTAGAAAGATTGTTCATCATTTGAAGGTCAAATTTTGTTGTTTCACTTCTCAACAATGTAAATCAGTTTGTTAACAACCTGTTCAATTCTTTCAAATCATTATCTGCTAACTTGTGCCCCTTTGGTTAGATTTTGCCTGTAATCCTGGATAGTATCATTTAATCTGGAGTTATGATTATCCTAAGTTCCACAGATGGTATATATCATGTCTAGGCGTACCCATTTCTTATTCTAGATTTACTAATTTACTCGTTCAAAGTGTTATGGTAGATAACTTGCTAAAATATACGGCAATGTCTTGAAAGAATAAGAATATCAGGAATTGACTCACAGGAACTGTATTTTAGTGGAGTTTTGAGGAGTTATTCATTGTATAACTTAAAGATTTTATCTTCTTCTCTATGATATAATTTTGACTTCCAGGAATATTCTGTAAATTGAATTTGAACTTTTAAAGTAATTTTTACCCTTTTCATCTCGTTGAATTCAGTATAATGATTTGGATTTCTTTCCATCTTGTTACTTTGCCTCATTGGGTTAAGGAGTATCCTAATGTTGATTTGAAAACAATCGGGGCATAGCATGAATCGGACCTGTATTCCATTAGGTGCCAATCATAAGATGTGGAAAGATGATATAGAGATGAAAGCAAAGAGAAAGAGAGAGACTTAGACAAAAAGAATCTTCATGAACCATTATATATGTCCTCCTCACTGGTTGGTGCATTGGTATATATTGAGAAAGTGGGTAGCCAAATAGCTCCAATAAACTACCATGGTAACGTCCTAACTAACTTCTCATCTATTGTTCATATCATATGATCTAAACTATTTCATCACTGGGAAAAAAATTGCAGGAATGCTCACCAGCTATGCTAATTGTGCTTATTAGTCCACCACCAGTTTGTGAGAAAGGCCGTGATGCTTATGCAAGGCATGATAGATTCTTCCTTTCATTTTAGATTCAATGTCCAAAATCTGCATTTTTTTATGGTCACTATCTCACTGTACCATGCATGTGTATTTGCTACACTTACCAAAGGCATTGAATGGAACTGTTCCCCGTGACATCTATTTTCTTGCAATTCCTGGAGGAAAGAGTCATGGGTGAACTTTTAATTTGTAATTTTTTTGGCCTCTAGAGAAATTTGAATGTTTAGTAGAGCAAGAGAATCATGGGTTACATGAACTTCTCATCATTTTAATGATTGTTAACTTTATCTGTAAGGGGCTTTCAATGTCTTGCAGATCTCTCTATGGCGAGAATGCCAGAAAACTGTCAGAAAGAACAAATGAAGTAACAGGTGAATATGCAAAAGCTTGTATTGAGACGGCCGAGGAATTAGGTGTTCGTTTTATCAATCTTTGGTCCAAAATGCAAGAGACAGATGGCTGGCAAATGAAATTTTTAAGGTTTGTGATGTTTACTTCCTGGACACTTGAGAGAACAAGTGAATATTATTTAGGTTTGACCCTGTTCTCTTGTTAAAGCGTCATGGATTTTTTTTTTTTTTTTTACTTTTTAGTCTATTAGTGTTGAAAAAAGTGAGGGCAACCTTGACTGTAATACACAAGAAAGGAAATATTCAGTCAATATGTTCTCATGAAGAACAAAAATTAAAGGTTATAAAAAAAAATGAGATTCATTTAGAATTTAGACGCATAATTTTGGGGTCAAATTTAACTTACCACTGCATTATCTGTAGCCATATAAAGATTTCTGCATCGATGTTTTTCCAGTGATGGGTTGCACCTTACGCCAGAAGGAAACGAAGTAGTGTACCAAGAAGTCACAAGGGTGTTCAATGGGGCGTGGCTTTCTGCTGAAGAAATGCCATACGATTTTCCTCACCACTCACAAATTGATGGCAAAAGTCCTGAGAGTGCTTTCCAGCAAAAATGTTTGTGAATGGTGACATCCACAGACCCTTTGGGGGTCGAACTTTCAATACATTGTACTGTGCTCAATTTGGTTGATTCCGTTGGATTTTCTTCCTGAAATAAGATAGGTTTTTGTGTTGACATAACAAGATTGGAGTTTATTCCTGACCGAAGTTGCACCATTAAGAAGCATTTATAGAGTTGGCTGCATGGCTGGTGTTTCATATTCAGAGACAGAGCCGCCAGTTCCGTAAGCTCTCCAAATGGGCTCGGTGGTTGGGTTTGACGAGGTTGGGTTGAACTGAAGTTTCATCTGTTCATTTTATGTTATACCTGGGCTTATAGTGTTAATTGCAGTAATTTCCCCTTAAGTTGATTCACTCATTTAAACACGCAAAATTTTCACTTTGAATTCATGAAGATGGAACTTATGAACCCTCCTAAACCAATTCTCTATCCCTACCATTTCTTTTCGATCCAATTTTTTTTTTATAAAAAAAAAAGAAACTTCTTTTTCCAACCCCCTATTGAAAGGTAGAATTAACTTAAGAAAAATGAAAGATAAAAAATATAGTTGATTTCTAAAATTAATTTTAAGTAGTTTATGATATGGCTTTGTAGAATTACAGTATCAATAAATTAGGCTATTCATTTTGATGAAACTACTTTATGTCTACTACCTTTGTTGTTCGTAAACAACCAAAGTCATAAATTATTCAGTTACACTTTATTTTGAATTTACGGTACAATACCAATTAAGTAGAATTCATTGCTTCAATTAGTCTTAACAAAAAGTAAACTCATTAATTGTCATAGTTAAAGCGTAATGAGCGTACTATTAATTTTATTCTTAAGACAAGGTATATCGTTAACTAACTCCAGGGAGACACAGACATTATTAGTATCTAAGTTGATATTCCATCCGTTTTATAAAAATTGTTACAAAAACATTTTTCACACAAAAAAAATCATTAAATAATCTAATCTAAGTTTTTATAAAATCAATATAATATTTTCCTAATTTATCACTAATATTCTTTATAATACATACTACTTGACCACTAATGGGTGCATTAATAAGAAGGAAAACATGAAATAAAGCTTGCATGTTGATTGTTTGCTAATAGTGTCTCTTTTGTCGTGAGATACATTCTCTATGAATGGCAACCATTATTTGATTCGGTAGATCCATTCTCTATTGCATAGAGGGTGACAAGTTGAGACTACCGAGAGGAAAACAAATATGCTGACTTCCTTGTGTCCTATGTTATTGCCATGGATAGGGGTGTACATGATTTGGATCATCCATCAAATGATTTAAGGACTTTCGAATTTCCTGCAACACAACGCCATAGGCATTGGCTAGATTCGCATTTGTCATAGTAGACCCCACTTGGGTCTCCCCCCTTTCTTAACCAAAAAACATGAAATAAAGAATTTATACCTTGTTAGAATCTGAAAATGACACTTATTATAAACTTTTGAAAGGAAGTTTTTTGTGTCACTTATTATGAAAAAATAGGATTAAAGTAGTATTACATTGACTCTCTCTCCGGATCATAATATATGTTGTTGGTAACTAATTTATGTTTTATAAAAAATATTAGTTGAAATCTCATTTTCCTAAAAATGTTTACATCTTTATATTTTTACTCTTGAGTTAAGTGAGTTTTTTTTAGTAACGCATGCGTAATCTTTAAATATGGAGCATTTAAAGACAAGAAATTGAAAAGGAAAAAAAAAGCAAGGGTATAAATGTAAAAAAAATAAATTTTACCTAGTACCCTATATTTTGAACCAAGGGATATTTTTATAAAGTGACTTATATTATGGTCTAAAAGAGTATATTCTTACAAAAGTTTACCATTTGGCCCTTCCCCAAATATCATCTCTTGTGCTGCGGCTGACGTCCCATGGTGCTCTGCCCCAGAAAAAATAAACAAAGATAACCTACAGTGCAAAATAGAAATGTATCATCCCTTTGATTGGTCGTATCAACATCACCTGTACATAAACATAAAATTATGCAGGAGTACATAGAATATAGAAGTGGCTTCAAAGCTACATGCATATCTTTTCCATTCAAACTAGGAACCAGATCAGAGTACAATCCTTTTTTCGCGAAAAGGTCAAAGTACAATCTTTATTTAACTCCATATATGCGTTAAATATATTAAATAATTCTCAAGATTGTTTCACTATTTATTTATTGTTGTCTGTTTCATCATCCTTCAAAATTTGTTCCTCCAAGACAAAGAGCTAAACACAACCAAGAACATCTTTGATCTGAGACATCATCTCCACCAAATCCATCTCCTTCTTAAGTTCCACCTCCTGACCCTGTGACTTCCCTAAATCAAACTGATCATCCTCATCAAAATCAGCATTATTAACAACATCGTCACAATATTGCAACTTTGCTTCAAAGTCTCCTCCGTGCACAGTATGATCAGGAGCACAAGGCATATCATCAAGTAAAGTATCAAGATTGCATACTTCTTGAAACAAATTTATGTTCTCATCGAAACAAAAGTCTGGGACGTCGTTAAAGTCATATGTAGGAACCAATCTGTCATTGTCGGGACAAAACTGCTCACTTGCCAGTCTTGCTGATGCTTTCCTTGTACCAGTCATACGATTGTTGTTGTTGTTGTTAGGGTTAGCAGAAGAAGAGGATCTCTTCCTATAATCTATAGGCGGGTTTTTGTCTAAGTTCAAGCTCTTGATGTATTCCTGAAGAAGAGAGGGTTTAGGGTACTTGGAGCGACACTTCCTTTTTGAATATTGCCTTCTCTTGGTTGCATTCCAATGGTTTTTTATGGAGTTTTCAGTTCTTCCAGGCAACTTCTTGGCAATCTCTGCCCATTTATTTCCTATCTCTATGTGGGCTTCGATCAGGATCTTATCCTCTTCATTACTCCACGTGTCCTTCTGCAACAAAACAAAAAGGCAAATTAAAAAAGTTAAAGGCACTGGAAGATATATGCCTGCAGATTTTTAATCAAGGCATCACTGACAGGAAACACATAACTGGATTGTGGTTCCATAATTCTGTATGTCCTACTTTATTAATCTCTTGTGTGAATAGTGTGATTTATTAATCTCTTCCATAATAATATGACTTTTTTATAAAGTGTGTGCGTGTGTGTCATATTAGATGTATATATATTCCATATGAAAACTATTTTTTGAGAGTATTAATACTTGGCATAACAGACTCAGACAAATTAGAACCTTGATGTTAGGCCTTAAATGATTATGCCAACGCTCTCGACATTGTTTGCCTATTCTCCCAGGCAAACTCTGAGCAATATGAGACCACTTTCTCACTCCGTACTTTTCAACCAGCTGAATCAGCAGCCTGCAATTAGCAGAAAAGTGGGAAAAAAATATGAACATGATCAGAAATTAAAAAATAATGTGTAGTTAATTATCCTTAGGAAAAAAAAAATTAATTTGCAATATATATGCACCTATCTTCTTCCACTGTCCACTGTCCCTTCACCACGTTGGACTTGTTCCGAACTTTGCATGCCCTTCTGATTGAAGCTGATAACCTGCTATTCCTATTACTCAAACCAACCCTCCGGAGAAAACTAAGATCTGAAGATATGACAGAGACTTCATCATCTGGTACTACGAATTTGATAGGCTTGCTTTCTTGAGAGTCAAATGGAAAATAATAATTGCTCTGGTCTGCATCCACCACCTCCATTTGATTCCTCTCATGAGAGACATTGAGGCTATAATAATTATTACCTCCGAACTGGAAATTCTCCATAACATGTGCATGCCCTTCATTGCCATTGATATTTTCAATAAATGGTTTTGACTCATAAACATCAAAATCTTCTGATGAACAGCCAACGGAGAAACTATCTAAAGGGCTAACAAAATTTGCAGTTTGGACCCCAATAACTGAATTTGATGAAGATCCATATACTTGAAATGGATCAATATGGAGTAGATCTTGCAAGAAATTACTCTGTGATGAAGGAGCCCCAAAATTAGGAAGCTGGAGATCTTTTACGTTGGATTTCACGTCCATTGCTGGCATCTGCATTGGCTGGGAAACATATTGTTGTCTGATCTTTGTATCCAAATCCATGGCAGAGAGTGTTCAACAGAAAATGAGGGAAATGTCTAAATGTTTCACTTTCAAGGACATGTTCTTCCTGGTTTCGTTTATAGTGGAGGGTTGGAACGTAGCATTAATTAATTTTTGAAGCATCAAATGGCTGGATATAACCTATTCTCAAACTTCAAATGAGTTAATTAACCCAAAGCAAGCCTTTTTTCCCCCCGCGATGCTAGTAACTGCTATCAAAATTATAAATGAAGTTGAAGAGTAATACTTCCGTTATGTTATTTATGTAGTTCATCATTAATATTGTCAAACCGAATATGGTTTCACTTTGCTTTATGCCACTACCTTTATTTCATCTCAACTGTAGTTCTAGGTTGTTCAGAACGAATTTAAACACACAGATTTATTTATTTATTTATTATTAAATTTAAACTATTCAAATTAATCAAACACTTTAAACTTGAAGTGGAAGTGATATAGAGAGAGAATAGACTGGAGAGAAACCATGCTCTTTGTCAGAGCTCGTCTCTGTGGGGTAAATCCATTAGCATACATGCTACTTTACAATGCTATTTTGTTCTTTTCGTTTCATGCCGTGTGGTTACAATTAGTTTTAAGGAAACAGAAGCAAAGCTGCGAGCCTTTGCTGGTTGTGGTGATAAAATATATCGAAGATATATTTACTAACTACTAATGTAACAACATATCATTTATTTCAGTGTGTAACCATCACTTCAAAATTAGAATTAGAAATTTGAGCCAAACTGGATGCTGATTGGGGAGCAATTTTACTCCTTGCTTGCTATTCATTGTTCGTATACTCATGCACTGATTATGTGTTCGTCTAGATGCACATTTTTGCGTATGTAAACTTATAATTTTGAGATGCAATTAATGTTGCACTTCAAATAATACTTATGAAAATTGATCAAGCTTGGATGAGGTGCAAGACATTCAGCAAAATGTAGTCCACTCTCTGTTTCTCATGCCTCCTTTGGTATAGGGAATTGTTTTTGGTGGAAGTGAAAGTCGAAATAAAACTAGAAGTGGAAATAAAAAAAGGAGTGAAGTTTAAAAATATGTTTGATATGCAATGGGAGTGAGATAAAAGATTTGTTTAATATTATATTTATATTTTGAAAAGATTAATATAGCCTTGAATATATAAAAAAAAAAAAAGCCATTGAAATACCAGCTCACACATGAAGCAATTGCTGTGGGAATACAGGAGAACAAAAAAACCATAATCCAAGAAGAAAATTTGAGGAAGGTGACAATATTTAATCATCAAAGCATTTAAACATAAAATAATAAGCAACCCAAGTATGCTTGCAACTTTTGCTTGGAATCACGATTTTCTCGATGTTACCTAAGGATTGAGCATGATTGTGGCTAAGGACTCACTCTCTAATGGGGTATAGAGGCTAGTTTGCCTAGGTTTCGTTTGTTCATTAAAAAAAAAAAAAAAAAGAAGAAAGATTTGCAACCCAGATCTTCTACTCGACTTGCGATGCTGAAGACGAAGATATGCAAGTCAGTTGATTTGCTCCACCCAAGTCGATCTGCTCGCTTTTGAGCTCATTAATGCCTTCGATTTGTTAAAGCTTTGAGCATTGCTGCTGTCGGAGCAAGTGTTCTGGCCGTGCGTCGATGCTTGTACAAGGCGGTGGCTTCGTGAAGGATGAAAGTCATTGCTACGCAGACGATTGTATGCATTGCTGACCTAGGACGACAAAGAACCATCATCATCGTTGTTGGCGGAAGGCCACCGTCACTAGCAGAGGGCCATCACTATCGCTAGTGAAGGGCCATCATTGATCACAAGATCATGGCAAGGGAGGGAGGGGACACGGGTAATTGAGTCTAAAGAGCAGACGGAACTGAGTCACATCAAGTAAGCATAGAACCTAGTTCCATCGATTTTTATGGGACTGAGTTCAAGGGAGGACCGAGTTCTATGGTACCAAATGGATAAAAATATTAGTTCCACTTCCCTCACTCCAATTCCTTGCTACTAAACGGACCATTAAGTTCTAATAGAAAATTTAGTTGAGTTTTTTTCGGCAAAGGAAAAAACCTTGTCAATCTTTCTTGTTTGGTTTCTTTTTTTATTTTTTATTTTTAAAAATTATTTTATAATATAGTTTTTAAAATTATTTTTTAAAATAAAACAAAATAAAAATTCATTTGATTATGTTAATTTAAAAATAATTTTAAAATTAAAAAAATAGATTGATAGTAATAATTATAGGTAATTAATCATAAAAATTTTGTATAAAAATTGATTAAAGTAATTATAATTTTTAATATTAAATATAATATATTTTAAAAACAAGAAAAATATTAAAAAAAACAACTTGAACTTGTTTATATTTTTTTAAAATTAAAATAGTTTTAAAAACAATTAAATCAAAAACACTAATTTAAACAAGTTTTTAAACTTTTTTATTTTAAAAACAAAAAACAGTTTTTAAAAATAAAAACAAACAATTCCTTAATGCCTGCTTGATTTCTATTCTCATTTTTTATTTTTAAAAATAAAAATTGATTAGATTATATCAATATATAAACATTTTTAAAATTAATAAAATGGACAAATAGTTATGGTTATAGGTAATTAATGATAATGATTAATAACAAAAATTAATTAAGATAATTATAATGTTAAATAATCAAATGTAGTATATTTTAAAAATAAAAAATGAAACGAAAACAACTTGAAGTTTTTTCTATTTTTTTGTTTTTAAAAAAATGAAAAAAATTAAATAAAAAATACCTAATCCAAACAAGTTTTAAAATTTCTATTTTCAAAAACAAAAATAAAAAAATAAAAAACAAACAGACCCTAATAGCCTGTTTGTTTACTGTTTTTAAAATTTATTTTTCTATTTTAATATTTTTAAAACAAAAAAACTTACTTGGATCATGGTTTTATAATTTTTGTTTTAAAAACTGTTTTTAGTTTTTTGTTTTTAAATACAAAAAAATAAAAACAAGTTTCGGCTGTTTCTATTCCTTTGCTCCCGATTTTTTTATCTCACCGAGTAACTCATATCTCATTTCAGTTTTTTCTTCTCCTTCGAGTTTGCTTCTAGTGCAGAGGAGTTCATTCTCTCGCCGGCGTCGCTGACTCTCTTCTCATCGGTGTCGCTACCTCCCTTCTCATCGGCATTGCCTTGGACGGTTTTCTCTCCTTTTAGCAAGTCTGTTACTAGCTAAATTTTTGAAAGAGGCATAAGTTTGTTCCTTCTCATCCATTGCTTTTCATCTTCACTTTTCTTCATCACATTTCATCTTCACTTTTAGGTTATTGCGGATGCTCAAATTTTTCTTCTCAATTACTTTACCTATTGCTTTAATTTGTTAGATCTTATATTTGAACTTCATTGCTTTTCATCTTTAATCGATGCACATAGATCTAGCATTTGAATTGTTATAATTTTGTTCTTGTTCTGCTGTTTGTGTTGCTGATTCAACTAGTTATTATATTATTCCTTTTGAGTTACACTAACGTAGAGGTAGATTTCGCTAAATTTACTTTTCATGTTGTTATTATTATGTAGTTCCTTCTGGTTCTGGTGTTATTTTAATTTTGTTTAGTTTCAAACTCATTCTTTTGATTTAAAGGAAGGTAGTGATAGTAGGGAAGTAGATTTAAAGGATTGAAAATTGGTATGAACTCAAACATAAGCACAGAAACTTCTCGGTGGTGCTTGTTTTTAAACTTCTCCATTTTCTTTGAATTTAAGTTGAGTTAGTCTACTTACTGTAATATTCACTTATGATAGATGGAAACTAATGTTGACTTGAAGATGTGGACTGACCTAATAGTTAAAGCTTTGATAGACATTTTAGTTGAAGAAGTCCAAAAAGGAAATATGCCAAATGGTGTATTTCACTCTAGAACATAGACTTCCATGACTGTAAAGTTGAATTCTGTAACCAATCATTCATTCAATGTTAAGCAACTAAAATAAAAGGTGAATCGACTGCGGAGTATGCATCGTGAGTTCACTTTATTACTGAAACACACTGGATTTGGGTGGAGTGCAGAAACAAATACTGTTACTGCAAGTAAAGAAGTTTGGCAAAACTATCTTCAGGTATGTGTTCATTTAGTATTTGTCCTATCAAGGGTCTTATATTCTTATAATTGTCTCCGGTATTAACTATCTTATTTTCACTCATACGATATTATTATTGTTTCAAGGTTCTGATGTTTTGGCTTATATTCTGACCCCATGAATCTTGTTACCTATTGTATACTTGCTGAGTTGACCTGGAATTATATTTATCCTCCAAGAGAGTGGTTATTTGAATTGAATAGCTATCTTTTGAGATTTTTTTTTATCTTTACCCTGTTTTTTCATAAATGTTAGACTTGATTATATGCTTGCACGTGTGTGGAATAAAAACTACTATTAGGAGAACTATATATACACCTATGTGTTCAATTAGACTTGATTTAGATTAATTAAGGACCAATATGACTTTCAAAACCTATTAGACATTAAAAATATTAACATTTGTTAAGTGGCACAAAGCATGTCAAGTTTTTTTTTTCAATTGATGATGATAACGAAGTGCGGGCAACAAGTATGTCTCACATCATCATCATCATCATCATTATTTCTAGTTTCAGACGTTCACACAACCATAGAAAAATGGAGGTGAAGCTTCTCTTCTATTTGTAGTAATCCAGAAATGTTGATTAAAAAAATTGTGCTTAGCTATTTGATTGTATTTTTATTAATTTTTGAAACAAATTTATCAAGAGAGAGAATTAGCCTAATGGAAATTGAGTCCACACCCTATTTATCAAGTTCTGATTCTAATTCTGAGTTTGAATTCCAATAGCCTAACAATCCTTTCTGTGTTCTGGCCAAAGAGAGAGCTTGAAAGTTTTCCTTCCAGAAGCTTCAAACCTTCAAGCCAGCAACCTTCCAAGAGCAAATAATCATAAATGCCTGTTTGACCAAAGAAATTGAAATCGGTTGGTTCTTGAAGGCACGTTCTCAATAGTGGTTGATAATTAGATTTCTTCAAAGATACACACTAAAAACATATCCTATATAAAATTTTAAAATTTGAGAAGATTCTGACAATGCTAAGCTTTTTTTGTATCAAACACACACACTCTCACGCGTGTATGGAAGTGAATGACAACCATGTATGAGTGTGAGTGAGATTTATGTGGAAAGATTAAAAAGTTTCAACTATTATTTTGGGTTCTCTTATTGCTATTAGTACATTTTCTTTATTACTTGTTACCAATAAAATAATTACTAATTCTTTCCTTGATCTTTAGGCACATGAAAAGGCTGCTCAATTTTGAAAGAAAGGATGTGACCACTATAAGCTGTTGGGAATCATATTCAACAGAAGTACTACAACAAGAGTACTCCATCACTCTTCTACCCAAGACCCACCAAATAGTGATGAAGAAAATGAACTGGAAAATCAATATCTTAACAGTGGGGTTCATAGAGATGATAAAGATAGTTCAGGTGATGACATTCAAGAGGTGGAGCATATCACACGAAGTGGAAAACGCATAATTCGAACAAAAGAGCGCAATTCTAAGAAAGAGTCTAGAAAATATCAAATGGCAGAAGCACTTGCAGCATAGGCTGAAGCTTCTAAGGCAAGAGCAGCAAAGTATAAGGGTGGTAAGAGTATGGAGGCTAATTTTGAATATACTGCAGCTAAATGTGTTATTGCTCTTGAGGAGATTGAAGGCATTCGAGCTGACATATTTGTCAAAGCTTTGGAAAAATTTAGGGAATATGATTGGAGGGAAATGTTTCTTACTATGTTAATAGGAAAAGGAAATGGTTAGATTTGTTTTAAAAACATATTTGTTGATCAATTAGAAAGGAATCTCCAGTAATATAGTACCATAGGCTATATTCATGCGGATTATGTGTTACCCGTGCAAGTATTGTCATTTTCTCTTCTTTTTTTCCCCTTTCAACGTTAGGTTCAGAACTTGCAAGCTTATATGTTTACACACACATGCCCCTTTTATATGAAATTGAATAATCATTTGAAATTGAATAGTGTTATATGTGTTTGTAAAGTTGATTTTGTTCTTTTTGAAATTGTATGACAAGTTATAAATAGAATGGATGTTGATAAAATGTCAAAGGAAAGTGATGAATATGCTTCTGAATCAAGTGATGATGACTTGCCTGAGTTATTGATAATTGATATGATTTATGATTATGACAAGGACTTTTTAAATAAAATAAAGGTTCGAACATCTATATTATCCGGTCATGACTTTGTTGCTGAGGTATTAAATGGATCTGAAACAACTTGCTTTGACTTGTTTCGAATGGAAAAGACATGTTTTGTTAACTTTTGTACTGAATTGAGGGGGAAGAGCTTCTTAACAAACTCAAGAGGTGTGCTTATAAAGGAAAAAGTTGCAATGTTTTTTATTCATAATTAGTCATAATGTTCGTCACAGAGTTATTGCAGATCGTTTCCAACATTCAACAGAACTCGTTGCTTCAAAGAAGTGTTAACAGCAGTATGTCAACTTGGAAAAGAGTTGATAAAACAAGAATCCTTGGAATTGCCTGACAAAATTACAACCAATGCAAAATACTACCCTTGGTTTAAGGTATGAAATTTTTCATTTACAATATCATTTATATGTTAGAAGTAATGTATTTTTTTTTTGTTTGGGTTTTGTCGTAGAATTGTTTGGGTGCAATTGATGGCACACATATTAGCGCATATGTTCCTGCTGATAAGCAAATTTCATGTCAAGGTAGAAAGTCAACAGTTACGCAAAATGTCATGTGCGCCTGTGATTTCAATATGATGTTTACATATGTGTATTCGAGATAGGAAGGAAGTGCACATGATGCAAAAGTTTTTATGGATGCACTTACCAATCCAAATGCACATTTTCCTTAGCCGTCTAGAGGTGAGCACTAGTATTATAATTTTGTTTTGCTTTGAATAAATATTTAAATTTTAATTTAACATATTTTATATTGACTTAGATTTTTTCTATCTTATTGATTTTGGCTATCCATACACTGGAGGTTTTCTTCCCCCTTATAAGGGTGAAAGGTATCATGCGCAAGAATATAAAGGCGAAGCTAGACAGCCCAAAAGTCGAGAGGAATTATTTAATTATAGGCACTCATCTTTGAGAATGACAATTGAGCGTTGCTTTGGAGTTCTTAAAAACATATTTCCTATTTTGAAGTTGATGCCTCCATATAAACCTACCAGGCAACGATTAATAATTATTGCATGTTGTACAATTCACAATTATATATGCAAATGGAATTTGCGTGATGAATTGTTTAAGATTTGGGAAGAAAAGGATATAGAGATAGTTGTTATGAATGAAGCTCTTCATGAGATAGGGGGAACAAGCTCAAATGATGATATCTTGTTGAGATTATTTGATCAAGATGCAGCAGATATGGCAATGCATAAAGATCATCTTGCAAATAGGATGTGGGCACAACATAACTAATAGATTAGTTAAACTGATTTGGCAATATTGAACATCTTGTTATAATAAACAAGATTGAAGTAATAGTTTTCAAAACATTATTCCATTTATCTCATCAACTTTTTATTATCTTATGTCATGTATATTACTTTTATTTGTTGTTTGTCTTTGAAGTAAATGTCACTTTCAAATTGAATTTAATTCATGAATTCTATTTTTTCTTTTTAATATATTTAGCTGTTTTGATTTATCACCCACAAGCAAATTATGAAAGTATACCATCAGTAAAATATGTTAGTAATAATGTATAATAAAATTTGTATTCTTATAAATGTTACTCATTTTGTAAATTGTGGGGGGCTTCCAAAAAAAAATTGTACTTTACTGGTGGCAACATATAAATTAATTTTGCTAAGCAAAATAACAGTCAAAACAATTTTAGCAAAATAACAGTCAAAACAATTTTTATCAAGCCAATTTTGTTGTATTTTAGCATTCAGAACTTATTTTTAGGATTAATTTTGCCAAGCAAGTTTTTTTGTTTTTTAAATTCTAAAACTGTTTTTGAATTATTATTACCAATCACATTTTTTTTTAGTTTGTTCTCAAAAACAGTTTTTAAAATTGTTTTATAAAACAATTTTTAAAAACAAAAAATGAAAACAATAACCAAACAAGCTATAAAATTCCTTCCGAAATATCTTAAGTTTTTGTTTTTTGTTTTTTTGATATTTTATGTTGTTCCATGTAACTGCATGCAATAAATAAACTCAGTATCAGCAATTTGTCAATTGTTACTTAAAACAAAAATTGAAAAGTACCCTCAATAACAAAAGTTGACTGGTCCATCAGATTTTTCTATGGTAATCTACTATGCTAATCAACTAGTTTTATATGATGAAAAACAAAGTAAATATACATTTTAATTAAATCAAATCAGCAAAACAAGATGATGGAGGCTTGTTTGGCACAATCCTTATAACTATGCTTATTTCTTTTTTTCGGTATAAACCATTCGATATCTTGGAATCATTGCCCGCCCCAGATTAATCCAGACCCCTCGTAAGGAGACCTTACAGTAGTAGCGAGGTACTGATAAAACAACCTCTATCGCGTTTGTCACTCCCTAAGGTTCGAACTCTCGTCCTGAGGAATGCCGGTAATAGCCCTTGTCAATTTTATCGAGCACCCATTAGTTATAACTATGCTTATAAACATGAACAATAGTGATTTAACTTGGGGCTCAGGGACCAGATAAAGAATAAACCTTCTCGATTGATTGTAGAATAGAATTTTTCTTCACATATGGAAATGAACCAAAACATATTTCATAATCTTATTTTAAAAAAAGAAGAAACATGTTATTAGTACCCTAAATTTCTTCCTGTGGCGTTGCCTGCAACTGGCACAAGTAATTAGTGTATGGCTACTATTTTCCTAGTCCCCAAAAGGGGGGGGGGGGCGGGAATTAGTGATGAATGATAGTATGGCTTGCCAAGCCCCAAGACGATCATATAACCATAAATTCTCCCTTCATATCTTTTGGCTTTGCCAATTTCCGAAGTTGGGGAATGGTGAAATGGAGAATTAGTTTGTGGGTGCATATTGCAGCACATCCTAACAAACCAAGAAGACTATTTATATATACTCGTCTAAGTGAAATTGTATTTGCACACTCGAAAAAAAAAACTAAGGTAATTGATAAGCAGACGAGACATTTTCCTTGCAGCAGAACAAAGAAACTAGCACAATTTTACCGAATATTAAGCTGTCTTTGGCTTTGGCTTCATTCGCTTCGCCCTTGAATAAAGGAACACTCCGGCAAGAGCAATACCAGTGCCTGTAGAAAAATAAGCACATGAAATCTCATCACTACATGTCTCGGCCACCAGTTAAGCTATCGTTAACAAGGAGCTTTAACTGTTGCGGATTGAAACAAGAATGTAAATTTACCAAAAGCGTTAACAGGTGATACAGGTGTTTTGAAGAAGAGGACAGAGCTCACAATGACCACAACCCGCTTCACACAGTTACCCACAGAGTGGGTAACAGGCGATACCCTTTGCAGTATCATATAAGAAACCTGCAGAACCCACTCAAACAAAATCATTTTAGCGTGCGTTAAGAAATACAGAACCACGTGTAAACGATGAAGTACGGCCAACAGAATTACTTGCTTTGCACGAGACTGTCATAAGACTCGGAATATGGAGCATTCAGAATGCCCTTCCTAATTGGCAAGACATATCGTCTCTCAATTTTTTAAAATGAATTCTAACTATCTCAAGCAAGGTTTTAGTGCACCAAGTGAGGATGCCCATGAGCTTAATCTATAAGGGGGAACGGGGAAAAAAAAAATCACATCAAACCATTGGTTTCTTTTATTTCAGAGAAAATCTACAGTTATGCATAGAAGAGGAAAACTCACTTGTTGATATGCATGGAAACAGAGTGCAGCAACAAGAGATCTGATGTATAGTTGTCTAACATTTAACCCCTGTTAAAAAAGAAGGCAGGGTAACAGATTAACAAGCTCAACGCCAGAGAACAGTTTTTGACATATTCCATTACTAACGGAAAATATATATATCAATTTTAATCATCAAGATACTCACAGCAGATTGCAGGTATGCAGGGGTAAATTTGACACCTTCCATGAAGATAGCCACAGGTGCTAATAAAAAGAAGGACAAAACAGTAATTATTGAGAAGAGGTTTATATTGTCCACTGATTCCTGAGAAGAACAAAATACTTGTTATTTTCTCCTCTTCCTAAAAAGCGCACAGTAAGATAAGAGTGTGACAAAATGCCAGCATAATTCATAATGCAAATAATTAATATCCAATGCAATAGATCCAACACTCTTGCATGTGCTCATAGAGCAAATTACCTCTTTATTAACCATGACCTTTTTGCTAAGAACATTACGAGACTGAAATGTCAAATTAGATGCCATCGCACTCCCAAATCCAGCCCTTTAAAGTATTCCACAGAATGAGCCGCAAATTAGAAATCAAATCCCAATTATTTTCCTCTATAATCATGCTATGCTCCCTCTCATTCTCTTCTCCTTTATGATGCAAGAACTGAAAAAGGAGATCTTACCAATTAAACGAGGCCTCAGTGACAGATGCCAGTGCTACTCCACCAACAATAGGCACAAGTGAAGCGACAACCAATGCAGTTGGCATCTGTAAGACAGTAAACAAGCTACTAACGTTGGAAAAAGTTGATTCATGATTCATTTCTTCTTCAAAGGAAATACTTACTATACTTAAGTAATTAAAGTCAAAGACCAGTAAATGATAAATACACCAGCATGCTATCTGTCACTAACATGATTATTGACCATGAAATGTTAGATGTTTACCTCTGACTATAAGAAATCACAAGACCAGGCATTAGATTATTCAAATAAGCAATATTAGGGGTTACGTTTATAAAAGAAAAACTGCATGCAACAATGTATTATCACCTCTCCGAGGAATATAGCAGAAAGGACCACTGAAAAGAAAGGCTCCATTGCTTTGATAGTGTGAGTGAACGACACAGCTACCTTTCCAAGGCTCATGTTAGTGAAAAGGTTCCCTAAAGTATGTACCACAGCCAGAGGCAGTATAGCTGCAAGCTGCCAATAAGTCACTTAGAGTCGATTACTAAACATGCACGCACACACAAAGGCCCAAGTAATGAATAGAAGGCAGAGTAAATAATTCAGCACAAAACCAAATACCAGGGAACCACTTATTTTAGGCCTTTTATAGAGGTTAAAAGTCCATAAAAATAAGACAAGGAGAGTCCCAACGGCAAATTGAACTGCAGTGACAGTTAATGGAAACTGGTACACCTTCAAGACCTGTGAGCATGGAAAGCAGTAAAAGTTTAAATACTAATCCAAAATCTCGTGGAACATAGACATCTTTCAACAACAAGAATTAATTCCTCATTCATATGTTTTTCCAGCCAGCGCCATTTGTAATTGAAAGCTTAAAAGTTTCAACTGCAAGCCTCTGAAAACTAACACCATCTGCCTTCAGACGAATATTAAGCAACAGTATGAGAAACGTTTTCAAAGATAATTTATCAGTTATCGCGACAGAGAGAGAGGGAGAGGGAGAAAGAGACTATTGACCAAGAAACAAACGGGAAACATTACAGCATATAGGAATATGGAATCAGACGTTCAATTAATATCGCATAATTCAAAAAAAAAATCGCAAAATTCTAAAGCACCAACATCTGACGCGTTCTCGTCAATTCGATCGTACGGCGATATTGGTTCACAATAGCATAATTTTTCGGCCGTTTAATACCAAAAGTAATGAAAAGAGAGACAATAATTCACCGCAAAATGTCCATAATTTTTTCTCAGATATATTAAAATGGTAAAATAGAAAGAACAAAGTAGTTCTGGTATAGGAATTGAGATTGAATACCTGCTTATTGTAGATATTAAAGTATATATTGAAGAGGTACCAGAGACCAAACAAGGATCCGAGCTGCAGAGTTTTGAATAAGGCGTTGGAGCTCTCGTCGGCGCTCTCAGGAACAGAAGTGGCCCGGGCCTCAAAGCGAGTAGCGTCAGAATCAGAGGAAGCAGGAGTAGGCAAGGATGTCGAGGGCCTGAACTTAAAAGAGGAGGAGGAAGAAGAAGCAACGGCCCAATATCGGCGATGGAACGACGAGGAAGAAGAGGAGGAGGAGGAGGAGGAAGAGCTTTCATTGGGCTTGGAAGAGGACGCAAACAGAGGAGAGAAGCGGTTGGAGGTAAAAGATCTGCGAGATTTATGAAGAGGCAGCGAAGGGGAGATAGTGAAAGCTGTGCTCTGCATTTTCGAAGTTTAGGAACGGATCTAATTCGCGAACACTCTCTAGAAAGAGGGAAGATGGGTAGACTGCAACTTTCTCGGCAGAGTAACGGAAACGCGCAGATTTTTTTCTGAAATGTAAATAGAATTTATGGCTGCAATGGCAACTAATGTAAATTCAAACACATCGTTGGATATTCCATTCATGGTCATAGGTACTAAGAGTTAAAATGAAAATTGAGTTACGGTGCAATTTTATATTGAAATATAAAATTATTTTTAAAACAGTAACATTATTTTTAAATTATTTATTATAACAACGTTTTTCTTAAATTAATTAAATTAAAACAATATTATCTCACCATTTAAACATTTTTTATTGTAATAAGTAAGACCCATTTTTCATAAAATGTAATTTTATCTATAAATTATTTTTAAAAAAGTAATATTACACTCACCATTTAAAAATTATAAAAATAAATAAATATAAAATTACAATAATATTAATTAAATGAGAAAGAATGCCACTTAAACTTTAAAAATTCACTTCATATAGGGATATCTAAGTAAAATAAAAATATAAAGTAAAATTATTTCATTGTCCCTTGTATCCTTTGATTATTTACTGAAGTTATTTATTTCTTTACAAAAAATTATTTATTGACTAGCAAGAGTTGTTTATATTATTACTAAACCTTAATTTTATTTTAAATGTTGTAATCATGGTAAAATAAGTTGTTCATTGCTTATGCTAGAAATGTTCATTAACCTACAAGAGTTTTTATGCCATTACTAAATATTGATTTTATTTCATATTGTAATCATGATAAAATGAATTGTTCATTGACCTACAAGAAATATTTGTACAATTACTAAATCTTAATTTTATTTCATATTATAATCATGATTAAATGAGTTGTTTATTTTCTTACAAATTGTCCATTGATCTGCAGAATTTGTTTGTACCATTAATAAATCTTGATTGTATTTTAAATGTTGTGATCATGATAAATATGGAATCAATCCAATTCTAAGGAACTGTTGTTGCAAGAGGAGGAGATTCTGCAAGAGGAGTTACTCTGGCTTGGTGAGCAAATAAATAGACCCTTGGGCGACAACTGGTGCCACCTGTGATGGCAAGGTGAAGCACAATGAGAAGAGCAGCATTATGGAGTTAGAAGGATCAGTTGACTCAGAGCTTAGAAACAAGGGACCGATAGCCTGAGAGAGCTACGGCAACAACATTAGGAGGTTTTAGTGAGGCAACGAATATCACGAGCTAACAAGCAGCTTGGATCATGCAATTGGGGTTATCAAATCAGAGGAGCTAGAGGGATCGCCGGACGGCAAGGGGTCTGGGGGTGTTAGCACCCTCATTTTTTGTTGTTTGGCGGTGTTAGCACCGAGCTCGCAGCTTCACAAAGTTCCCCCCACTGTGGTTGTCGTTGACTCATGCATGGAAAGAAGAGGGAAGAAGGCAAGTGACAAAGTCTTTAATCTTGAAAATAAAATAAAGAGAGCGAGGATATTTTGATGTTTTCTTATTTTAAATATAAATATTTATTAAAATTATGTTAAGATTTTATCTTCATATCAAATATATTTTTAAAATTTAATTTTATTCTATTTTTTATTTTGATTTTAATTTTATCCAAAGCTTTTTTATTATACCAAATGAAGCCTAAAAGTGTACACCTTATGGGAGGTTTTGATTGATTATTGAAAAGAAAGGTCCAAACAAGATTGTGATTTTTTCATGAGGGACCGTCGGCATTATTTCAACATAAACGATTTCGATCAGCTTGTGCAGGTGGTACATTGATAGCTGGTTCCCAACAGTAACGTAAACACCTTCGGTTATTGCTCTAAACAGAGAAGCCAGTCCCCGCGTGTGTAATTTTAATTAATGTAGACAAAAAAATAAAAGTCTTCGAAATATGCCAATAATGGAAGCAAGTCGAGGAGCATATATATCTCGCGCGAAGTCCCATTCGACAAAACAATGTAATACCACCCCCTTTTTTTTTTCCCGAGGATCACATATAAATCCTATTCCATGTAATTAATTACCCAATATCATTGACAATTGAATGTAGAAACATGACAATATATTGAGAGGTAATTAATTATGTTGGGTGTGAATTTAAAATATTTTTTTTTTAATTTTCTAACGGACCCCAAGCCAAAAAATTTAAGAGAATGACAAATAGGCTGTAAAGGAATTAATTAATTTAAATTAAATTTTAAATGTTAAACTTTAAAAATTTACAAATTTTTAATTTTATAATTTTATTGTAATAAATTTATAACTGAATTTTTTATTAAAATTTAAAATAAAAGTTATAAATTTATCATAATAAAATTATAAAATTTGTAAATTTTTAAAATTTAACATTTAATATCTAATTTGAATTAAATTAATACATCTCGGCAAAAATATGTCATTCTCTCAAAAAAAAAAAAAATATGAACCCGCCCGATTGTTTGAATTTCTGACCGCGAAACTTCTGTAATAATCACAATTTGGCTATTTCAGACGCGATTCGCGCTAAATCCTATCCTTTGCCCTGGATCCCATGTCTTGTTTAGTTATTTCAGTTCCCTATCTGGATAATGCTTTTAAAAATTCAGCATCCAGACAGACCCAAAAGCACGGCTGCTTGCCCCATCGCTGTCTATAACAGAAAATCGCGCAACAGACAAAACGTGCTCCCATAGATCTGAACCCACACTTGTTCAAAAAAGGGAACGAAAAATCTATCTATTTAATCTTGATTTTATACACTTGTTCGAAAAAGGGAAAAAGTCCATTTAATCTTGATCATGATTCGACTGGATTGCTAGCTGTATTTGAAAGTTGCTTGCGCTATTTCTGGGAAAATTTTGATTGTGGTGGGTCGCGGAATAGGAAGATGCAATTATTAAGTGTCCAGAATTTCTTGGATTTGCGGATTCTGGGTCCCGGAAGCTCGAGTTTCGGTGAATCTCAGGCGGGGTTGAGGGTGCAGTGGGTGGATTCCAGGAACATCAGAAGAAGAAATGGGGTCGTTTTAGCGTGTGCTGCTGCAGAAAGAGATGGGAATGGCCCCAGAGAGAGTTGGAGTATGAATCAGAGTCCGACGAGCTCGATTCTCCCTTTGTCCCACGCCTACGCCCTATTGAAGCACCAATTGGAAGTAGCTGCGAGATCCGAGGTTAGAGTCTTTGGTGAAATCAGTCTTCCAATTTGTGCAATTTGAAAGGAAGATGTAGAGAATAGGAGTGTTGTGTGTGGATTTCGATTCTTAGGATTTTCATTCTCGAGGTATGGCGATCATGAACGATTTGCGTTTAATTTGTATAGGATTACAAAGAAGCGGCAAGGGTTCGAGATTCACTAAAATTGTTCGAGGAGGAGGAGCCAGTTCTGCATCTGCGAAGATTGATGAAGGAAGCAATTGCTGATGAAAGGTTTGAGGTACCTAATTTGCTCATGTCACATGTAATTTGGTTGTTAATAGAAAGTAAATGTTGCAGGGAAGCTTGTGTGTTTGGATTAGAATTTGGAAAATTAAAATTTACACCAACTAATTTGTGTAAAAATCAGTTATTATGGCATGATTTTTGTTTGGACATATATATATATATATATATATATTTTAAAAAAAGTCAGTTCGCAAATTGAAATTTAACCAAAAGCAGGTTAAATTGGCTTGTGATGTAACTTGGTTTTGCAAAGCAAAAGTCATTTAAATTAAAGCTTATCTAAACAAGAAACAGGTTCAACTAGCTTTTCAGGTTCCTAACTAAGGTTTGAGCTCTCTCAACACCAAACCAATCAGGCATCATTTGATACAAAATGGCCTAATTTTCACGTCCTAATATAAAACTCATGCAATTTTTTTTTTTTTTTGACCACCTTGTTTCACCTTTTTCTTGTCAGGATGCAGCTAGATACCGAGATGAGCTAAAACAAATTGCCCCCCACTCTTTACTGAAATGTTCCAGTGATGCCACAACCTTGGTATGTCTACTATAATTTTCTAAGCAGAAATTGTTATCCGGACTAGAATGAATGAAATCTTTACTAGTCTCTTAGATAGTTCTTTCTTGAGGGATTGACGTTCAGTAAAACAAAAATGAAGCTGCTTTTGTAAAAATGTTTTCCATGCTGATGGATTCAGATCTGTATAGCTCCTTTCTTCAATTGATTTCTCTTGGATTTTCATCATTGGGTTGAGGCATTTGACCCCTACTACAAGAATGTGTGTTTAATTTTAAGATAAATGTTTGAGACTGCTAGTTTGGTTTGTGGTGGTTTGTACGGTAGGATTTATTAATTCCTTTGAAATCCAAGGGAAAAGTGATAAAATCTGTATTGCGCTGGCAACATCAAATGCTTGTAAACAAACAAATCTCTAACTCTAATGTTAAATCTCTACTTATTCAGGGAATAAGGGTTCAAGTCAGGAGTACATACGTAGAGGGCAGAAGTCAACCTTCAAAAGGGATATACTTCTTTGCATACAGAATAAGAATTACCAATTATTCAGACTGCCCCATTCAACTTTTTAGAAGGCATTGGATTATAACTGATGCTAATGGAAAGACAGAAAACGTGTGGTAAGTAAATTACTTTTGTCTATGCTTTATTCTTATAAACTTTCCAGGTGAATTTTATTTTGGCAAAAGTAGAAAGAAGTCTATCAACTTGGAGAGCTGTGTAATTTTTCTTCCCTATTTTAGTTTATCACAGACTCTTCAGACTTATAAAATAATATATATCCTATCAGTTCATGAAGGTTAAAATAGACGGAGTCAACAAAAATACATTCAATCAATCATTTCAGGCGGTAAATAAGGGTTTTTTACATTACGTAAATGTTGTGAGGAAATGATGGAAAAAAATAAAAATCCTTGTTTGCCACTTTTTCACCATTGCCCTTGTTAGTCACTTTTTTTTTTTTGGGGTCTATCCCTTGCTTTGATTTGATTTGATTGGAAAGTCAAATGTATTTTCCGTTGATTCAGTCTCTTTTAGCCTGCATAAAACAATGATATTATGGTTTCGGACAAAAATGCTAGTGAAGAGGACATTTGGCGTAAAATTAAAAATTTGCATGGTTTGCAATTAAATTTTTAAAGTTGAGGGAAACAAATTTCACATCCTTTTAAGTTGGGGGAAGTTTTAGTATTTTGGTGTTTTATTATCTTTTATATTTAGGGGATTTAAGTTCAATAAACCTCTGTACTTTGTATACCTTATGACAGGGGGATTGGGGATCTTGGTGAACAGCCAGTTATACTTCCTCGGACTGGTTTTGAGTACTCTTCAGGATGCCCATTAAACACCCCAAGTGGTAGAATGGTAAGACAGCTTTTTTTATTTCTATTTTTCTTTTATTATTGCTTTGATCTTTAGAGTTGATTTAGCTTGAGTGTCCTTATACTATTGGTGGTGGTATATGGTAAGATCAATCCTTTTCCATGAGAAGACATCAAAAGTTCATGAATATTGATTACTTTGCTTCATTCGATCTTTTTTTTTCTTTTGGGACAATACTTTACTTTCATTCGACAAAACCATTAGAATAGTAAAATTGTCAAGTGTCAGTGTATTTGTGCGCGTGCGCGGGGGGGAGTTAGTATCTTTTAGTATTAAATTTTCTTATAGAAACATAATAAATAGATTTATTTTACAGTTCGACGTCAAATAATTGATCTTTTTCAAATAAAAAATATTATATATTTTGATCGAGTAACCTCATTACTGTTGGAAACGGTGGACCTCCAGATCACACTAGAAAATTACAGGATGCAATTCTATCTTAATGAAATAATATGACTGCATTAAAAGAAAATAATACAATACAACTAGTATTTATACCAAACCGAAAAAGAAATAAACGACAAGTGGTTAAGACTAACTTAAACTGCACAACTAAACGAGACAAAACAATACTCAATACTCAAATACAAAATACTCATATATCATCAATACTCCCCCTCAAGTTCAAACTATGTACATCCATGGTTTGCAACTTGCTGAGGAACTTGTCATGAAACTTCTTCCCTAAAGCTTTGGTTAAGACATCTACCTCTTAATCCTCTTAACGAACATGCTGTAAGGAAATTAACTTTTGTTGAAGCTTCTATCTGACAAAATGGCCATCAATCTCTATATGTTTCGTTCGTTCATGAAACACAGGATTGTTTGCTATATGTATGGCTGCCATACTATCACAAAACACCTTAATAGGCTCAATATTCTGTCGGCCTAAGTCTTTCATTAATCCTGATACCCACACTATTTCTAAAACAGCAACACATAATGCTCTGTACTTAGCCTCTGTTGAGGATTTTGAAACAGTTCCTTGCTTCTTAGTTTTCCAGGAGATTAAGGAGTCTCCTATCTTCAAGAGATAGCCAGAAACTGATCTCCTTATAGTATGGCACGCAGCCCAATCAGAATCACAAAAACATCTTAGCGTTGAGGTTTGTTTTGGAGCCAATTAGTATCCCCAGTCTTGGTTTGCACTTCAGATATCTTAGCACGTTCTTACCTGTAGCCATGTAGGCTTATGTTGGATTTTGTATGAATTGACTCAAGTTTTGCACAGAAAGGGATATATCAGGACGAGTCATAGTCAAATAAATCAATTTACCTATCAGCCTTCTATATTCCCCAGGATCTTTCAACAGCTCTTCCTTTTTATTTCTCCCTTCTTTATACACTATGAGTCTCAGGTTGGGAGCCATAGGTACTCTCAATGGTTTACACCCACTCATACCTATCTCAAACAATAAATCTAACACATGTTTTCTTTGATTCATTATTATTCTTTCTAGATTGGGCGACTTCTATTCCTAAAAAATATTTCAAAATTCCAAGGTCCTTTATTTTAAACTTACTATGCAAAAAAATCTTTGGTTTGTTTAATACCAAGTTCAGAACTTCTAATGATTAGTAAATTGTTCACATACACAAGAATTAATACAATTCCATAATTAAAATCTTTAACGAACAGTGAGTAATCATGCAGACTTTGATTGAAACCACCAAATTTAAGGGCTTGTGTTAGTTTATAATTCCATTGTCTTAAGGCCTATTTCAATCCATATAAAGATTTATTTAGTTTACAGACTACATTCTCCCTCTTACTATTAAGACCTTGGGGGATAATCATATAGACATCCTTGTTAAGATCTCCTTGCAAAAATACATTATAGACATCCATCTGATGCAAAATCCAATTATGTTGAGCAGCTAAGGAAAGCACATTTCTAATAGTGACCAACTTTATGACTGTTGAAAACGTCTCTTGATAATCCACCCCTTTCTTTTGACTATACCCTATAGCTACCAATCTAGCCTTATATCGCTCGATGCTTGCATCTACCCTATGTTTGATTTTATATACCCATCTTGACACTATAGGCTTCTTACCTTTAGGTAACTCTACTATATTGTAGGTCTTATTATCTTCTAGTGCTTGTAACTCTACATTCATTGCTTCTACTCATCTCTTATCTTTAACAGCTTCCTGATAACTTCTATGTTCCAAGTTAGAATCAATGGATGAAAGAAAGCACTTATGGAATTTAGATGTAAAATCATAGGAAATTTGCTTCTGTAAAGGATACTTAACATTGGATGTATCACAAGTAGAACAAATATAGTCCTTGGACCAAACAGGCGGCTTTTTATCTCTAATAGGTCTGATCCTTTGTTGCTCCTAATTATTGAGTTCAATTATGTCACTATTCTGAACAACATGTGGCTCTCCTAATTCATTTAATTTAGGACACATTTCAGGCATAGGATCAGAAATATGACAATTATCTTTTTCATTTTCAAACTAGAGAGAATCAGAACCATACCAAAAGGTTTTATCAAAGTATTGTTGAGCCTCATTTTGTTTAGAATCCTTGACATCCTTAAAAGGGAATTTACTTTCAACAAATCTGACATGTCTAGACACAAATAAATGGTTAGTTCTTAAATCAAGTAGAATAAATCCCTTTTTATTCTTGGGATAACCCAAAAAAACACAAGGAAAAGATCTAGATTTAAATTTATCAGTGATAGTTATCAGTGGCAAAAGCAAGAGAATCAAAAATCTTTAATATACTAAAATCAGGTGGCTTTTCCTTCAATTGGAGATGATTTATTGTATCCAGCAATAGTCCTCTGTGTCTTATCTCCCATGATCATATTATACGCTTGATTCACAGAGGGGAGGGGAGACATTAAGAGAAACTGACTTCTTGCCTGTCTATATGACTCACTGAGCCCTATAAGGAATGGGAGGAGATGTTTTTGCTGGATTAAATCAGCATATACCTTTGAAACATCATACTTGCAGGTTGGGATGGCAATTAATGCCAATTGCTCCTCCCACAATTCTTTCAACTTTGTATAGTAGCTTGAAACAGACATAGAAACCTGAACTAGGGAATTAATCTCACGATGCATAGCAAAAACTCTTGATCTAGTGACTTTATCAAATCTCTCTTTCAGATCTGTCTAGACATGGAACGCATTCTGTGCATATGCAAGTGTGTTTCCCAAATCCTTTGACACAGAGTTCAATAACCAAGACAATAACACAACATTGCATTGTTCCCACTATGGACGAAGTGACACCTCCTGCGACTCCTTTGTGCAAGATCCATCAATAAACCCTACTTTATTCTTTCCAAGCAATGCAATCCTCATGGATCTACTCCAGATTGTGTAGTTTTCTGGTCCAGTGAGGATGTGAGGCACGAGTGACACTGCCTGTGTCTGAAGGGTGTGAGTAAAGGTGATGGGTGAAATCAATAGTATTGCTGCCGTTCTTCTTCTCTTCAGCCATGGTTGGATTTTCTCAATGGGATCAAGATACTAGCAGGTGATGTGAAACGCAGAGTTCTGCGTGTGTAAGGAGACTGCAATGGATCGGGTTTCTTGATTGCCCGGTCCAGTTCTTGTAACTTTAATGAATGGCCTTGAAAAGGAGTGTGTAGCCCATTTCTTGAACAAAACAATTGAAATCTTTATTTTCATGGCCCATACTAACCTTGCTCATGATACCTTGAAGAAGGCGGACCTCCAGATCACATCAGAAAAATACAGAATGCAATTCTATCTTAATGAAATAATATGACTGCATTAAAAGAAAATAGTCCAATACAACTAGTATTTATACCAAACCAAAAAAGAAATAAACGACAAGCGGTTAAGACTAACTAAAACCACACAACTAAACGACACAAAACAATACTCGATACTCAAATACAAAATACTCATATATCCCTCATATATCCTCAATAATTACAATCACTTCAGGAACTTTACTGTCTTGGCTTTTGAAATAAACACAACATAAGCTCGAGTCTGAGTTTGCATTGATTTTCAAACAGTTCAAAGGGCTGGTCCTGAAAATTGGGACCGGATAGCTGAAGAAAAAGCGGCCATTGAGTGCATAATGTTCACTGTTTGTTTGATACAGTTGAAACTGCTATGCTGCTATGTTGTTCAAGACCGAAATTTGGATGCTTCTCAGCAGTTTAAATCCATTAGTTACATCTGTTTTGTTTGTTTCATGATTGATGTCAACATGCATTCCAATCGAGAGCCTAATGTTTCTGTTCCATTATAATGCAGGAAGGTGACTTTGAGATGATCTGCGTGGATAGAATGAGCTCATCACCATCATTTAATGTGGCAATTGCTCCCTTTTCTCTCTCTCTTCTCGGAGATGATGAGTGGTGATATTATTTGAGATTAGAACCCTAGCTTCCGGAGCATGAAATGGGTAGTAATTTTGCCCAACGCTCCTGAGCGGCTTAATTATTTACTGTTATTTTTTTTCCATAATTATTTTGCATTATTTAAGTGTAAAGTTATCTAGTGGTGGTGAATAAATGCTCAGCAAATGGTATGCGGAGACTACTAAAGAGGATATATAGTAAGATTGTCTTGTCCTGCAGTTTCTCCAACTTAGTCGCAGGAACTCTTGAGAAATGAAGAACAAGTCACATGAAACAATCGCGGGGGGCAAAATTGCGACTGCTGCTTTTTACACGGATTGTATTGTTCTGTGAATTGCGTTGGTTGACTATGTTGTTGATCCTTGTACAAAAAGAATTGTCCATTACTGAATTGATTTGTTGGAAACTCAAGGTTGAAATCAATTGTAAAAATTATATTATAGGGTGGTTAAAGAACATTTTTTCTTTCAACTCTTTTGCAATGAACACTATCTAGTTGTCTTAAATTATTCATTAGACGGAGTGGATAAATCTTGTCTTGTGCCTTCTATAAATACCAATTGTTTCGTTAAATTTCCATAGTATAAGGCCTTGGGTAGTTGTCTTCCTACATTCAGACATTCAGTTGAGACTTCTGACTGCCTTCGAATGGTCTAATTTGTTAAATCCATATGTTAAATTCTCCCTGTTGAAGGCGACCATCGATTTGCGCTCAGTCAATGCTTCTATATTTTCGTGCTAAGTGATGCAACTTCCAAAGCCCTGCAAAGTTTCTGTGTTCGATTTCATTTACTGTAATATTCCAATGCGTTAACGTACCAAATTTCTCGCCCGATCTGGTTTGGCCATCTTCAGCAATTCCCTTGTTTTGATTAAAATTGCTTCATTTTCCAATGGATACTAACACGTGCTTCTTCAGTGAATGATTCATGCTGAACATTAAGGAATGGGATGGAATAGCTAAAAATCTTATATCATTGTTTAGGAAAATTAAAAAAAAAAAAAGAAAAGGTAGAATAGTTTGAGGTGATCTTCAAAGTCATCCTTTGCTGTTATAAATCCATTTTTCTTGACCCTTCAATTTGAAGAATTGATGATGAAATGATACAGTATAAATAACATTATTAAAAAATTACCTCCATACTTCTCACCCCTTCTCACTTTTTCACTCGCCCTCCCCATAAAATAGAAAAATATAATAATATCTAATTCAAATTTATTAATTTTAAAATTATTCTTAAATAATGATTAAGTAAAATCATTTTTTTTTTTAACAAAATTCTCAAACAATGGAATGTTCCATTTTGTTCCACTCCGTTTCACTTCATTCCATAATGACCACTTCCCTTCCATCATATGCTCTCAAACAGTTGCTCTCAACAACCGGCCACAGGCACGCAGGGAAGGAAATAAATGGAAGTCCAGTATGAAAATCTGATAAAAGGTAGAATTTTATTCAGTAAGGAATTTAAACAAAACAAGCGAGTAGGGTCAAAACTGGAAGCTGAGATGGATAAAGCTGTACATAAATTTTATGTTACAAAGAATAACAATAACAAAATTCAAAAAGAAAAAAAAAGAGTGGAAGGGCAATTCTGATCATTGAACGAAACATTTTTAGATGTAAGAGATGCGAATGGCCAAGCAAATCAAGATGAGATATAGACAGAACCCATCAACGTACAGGTGTTCACAGAGAAGTGCTTGGTAAGGAACCCATCAAGATAATGTTTTCGTCTTTATGATCCCGAGTCTTGTGGGGGTTTTCCTTTGTGAACAAGCCAGATAGGAATCCAGAAGACAGACCCCTCCCTAACAAGTCCGAGCTTCCTCTCGTTTTATCCAATCTGAGGAGCGCCCCACAGGTACAATTGGATAGCTTTCTGAAGCATCGCTTATGGAATACTGACTGACAAGTTTTACACCTTTCAATCTCATCTTCCTGCTGATAAATTTGATCTCAAATTAAGACATTTTTCGATAATTCAGAGAAACTCATTCACAACAAAAATGAGGTAAAGAAAAGGGTGGGGGCCTGAAGAAGGAAAGCATGGACGGGACTGAGTATTGAGCTCTTAGCAAACAAAGGAACACTTCAATGAAGAGAAAATGTGGGATACATTCGAACGAATTTTCACAGCATGCATACGAAATTGAGGAACTGGCCAGACGAGCCCCAAAAAGCAAAGATCTCAAACAAGCACTGCCAAGAGGGACCACTAACTCGAGAAAAGCATTCCCTGACAACAACCACACACAAAAAAAGGCCCTATTTTGAAACAACTTAGATCCCGTAAGAAGCTATCCACACTTTAACTGTCCACTAGCCTTCACTCCAAAAATATCTAAATAGATAGATTTTTCGGACAACCACCACCACTTATTATCTAAAGCACACCCTGCACTTAAGAGGTGCCACAATACAATCAAAAGACAGGTGATTTCTTGCAAACGTACCAAGTATATTTCAATTTTGGAGAAAAAGGGGGTTTTTTTTACCAACCACAAAACGATGACAACAAACTTTATCCTATTAGATGGAGTTTTTTACAATGTTCAATATTGTCACAGCTACAGACAGAGACACACCTGGAAAGGGAAAATGAGAGAAGATGGATCGCTGCAGTCTTGTCGTGCACTGCATGGAACACCGACATCACAACATATGAGGCATTGATCAGTGATGTGTTCCAGGATTTTGATGACAATGTTTCAACCATAACAGGCAGTGCTGCATTAACAGAACATTACATCAGGAACGCTTAATGCAACAAAACCACTTCAACACTAATTATTGATCAGATAAATTATCGAGTTATCTCCATTAAACAAGAGAGAAATATGCTAAACATACAACAGTGCGTGTATGTGTGTATACTGTATACGTATAAGGTAAAAAAACAAAAACTTCCATTCGAGGCACAAAAAGCTGTTACTCAAGTAAAAGCTAACCGGCAAAGGCTCCTTTGGACAGATCAATAAGATCTCTTAGAGCAAAAAAGTCACTGCTCTCAACAAGATATCTCCGAGTTCCAAGTCCTCTGTAGATAGACCTCCGAAATGGGCAACGAACAAATGGAAGAAGACTCCTTATTTTTTTCCTGACATTCATAACATGAAGCAAGGCTGGGACCTTTGACAAAAGGAATGGATTAACTGCAGTGACACATAGCATGGGCTGCAAGAGAAAATTCATTTAGAATATTGAACAAGCCCAGGAATAAAAACTAGAAAACAATACAAGTAAGAGAGTACATGCTGCATTCTTTCAACCTTTTGATTTCACATTCAGAAAAGAGTAAAAGTGAGGAGAGAAAGAAGCAATGGCTATTTCAAGTTAGCTTATTCATAGAACCTCTGGATATAAGCATATATATTAAAGTTTAAAAAGATGTTATCTAAAATGCAGGTGATAGTTCTTAACATTACCTGGTCATGTATAGAATCCAGATAAGATTTTGCCATCTGAGAAACTGGATACTGAGTAAAATCCCATTGATGTAAAACTCTTGCTGGCAAAACAGCAGTGTCGTTTGTATGGCAAGAAGAGCAGAATAATTGACCAGTGTATTCACAAATTCGGGGCCTTCCCCATCCAAAAGTCTCTACAAAACCCCGAATCAAAGTTTTTCCATCACCAAAATGCTTATGACATCCAGCACATGTGTTATGCTGAGCTTCTAACATCTGTTTCAAAGATTTGTTTGGTGGAATTTCAACTATTAGTGATATGGTCTTCCCTAATGTGGAAAGGTTTCCATTATCTGTCCCTCCCATTGAAGAAGCAACCAGTGGACTTGATCCAGGCGCACTAGGATATGAATCTTGAGGGGACAAAAACCAAATTAATGCACTTGGAGGACTTGAATAAAACCTGGTATGGAGAATGGACTGTAAGCAGTCTTGAATGATAACACTTCTCTGCACAATAACATCAGGAGATGCACTTCCAAATATCTTCTTGGATTCTTTTTCAACTGAAGACCATGGCAGAGGTAAAACCAATCCTTGACCAGCAAATAAGGCTTTTATCTGATGATGGAGAGTGAGGAAATCACGGTATCGTCTTTCAACCTCCCACTGACCTTTGCTGCTCCACACTTTTATTTTATAGACAGTGTATTCCTTCACCCCCAACAACCTTTCACTTAACGAAACATCTCCTCTCTTCTGCCTGGCACCTACCACTTCGATCCTATCTATTTGCACAGGGTGCTGAACTAGAAGATAAGCATCATCAGTGCCAGAAGTAGATGCTGTCAAGCCACCATCTCTCAAAGGCATAGAAAAATTTGGCTCATGAAATCTACTACCCTGAGCAAGCCTAACCCCAGGAGAATCAACAGAGTCTAGTAAAATTTCTTCCATTTCATGGACAACCTCATCATAGAATTCATTTAGCTCAAAATTCTCTACCTGCGATATTCAGTGAAACACTAGACCCATATTATAACCATTTGTAGTGAATAATTATTGCCCTAACATGCAAATGTTGAAAAGAAAGGCTTTTAATTTTCAGAAAGTGGAAATTTTAAAAGAAGCGTATATTCATAAAACAAACAAACTCCAATTCCACTGACAACTCTAGAAGTACTAAAGTACTTGTAAATAAAGTCATTTACTTATAAAGGCAACGTAAAATTGTTTCAGATGGTACAACTACAATTTAAATAATCAAAATCAACTATGACTACATTACTACTATTATTGCCGCTGCTGCTAAGCATGTCTTGTTGAAGTCAAAATTAAATCTACGGATCTGAAGAGAAGGCCTACAAACTAGTCCATCAACAATAACAGAACCTAGAGCTGATTCAGCTGAATGGCTAAACTAGAGCTCAGGTAAATGGACAACCAAGCTACAAGTCCAAAACGCTTCTCAACAATGAAAATAAGAACTGAGTTCCACAAGTATATTAAGAAAGCTACTAGGATGATTCATCCAATGCCTTCAACATTGAAAAATTATTTGATCATACTGAGTACATCTTATCAAGTTAACTGATAAGTTCAAAATTTTATTTGTCAGCTAAAACGTCTTCCAAAATTTTCACATGTTTAGCTTCAATTAGAATTTCTGTATGAAGATCCACGTCAAGTTTCAAACTAAGTTGTATACTGAACCCGATTGAAGTGGAAACTGTAAAGATATTGGCAATAATTCAGGAAAGTGGAAGGGGATCAAATGATAGATAATGACACTAATTACTTGCCTGAGATGTCAGAGGACTTCTCTCTGAGAGATTTGTTGAGGTGGAGAAGCTCTCTATTGATTCCTTCATTCCATAATCTGTAGAAATCCCAACTCGTTCTAGATTCTTTGAGGAATCTTCATTTATGTTCCCAGGCTGTTGGGCTAGACTGGAAAGTTTATGATCAACTTTGCTTTCAGAAACATTATCCAACTTGAACTTAGACTCATCCAACTCTGGGTTTTTTACATGTTGAACATCACTAATGCCAATAGATTCTTCAGTGTCCATGCACTCATTCTCCTTTACAATTTTTCCACCACCAGTAGCACTCAAATCCATATGCTGAGAAGCCTTATCCAAATCAACTTCATAAGCCTTGGTGCTTGAACCAGTTTCAGAAAAACTATTTTTGGCAACAACAATCTCCCTCACATCTTCTGGATGCAATATGACTATATTTGGAGACTTGCTTGAGGCATCGGAAGAACTTTCTACTGTGTTAGTAACCTTATCAACTCCCTGAACTGGACAACAGGCTGCAGGAAAGTCTCTGGCAACCTTTAGTTCTTTGAGTTCACCAAGATCTTTTACTTCTTTAACTGTGTCACTAAACATGACTGAGTCATTCTGATATTTCCCTTCTGCATTTTGACCAGCAATTGAAATACCCGTTGAGCTCACAGAATTTATTGCATTTTTGTCAATTTCAGGATTCTTTTCTTTTTGACTCTGAAATACATTAAAAAACCGGGGGACTTGACTATTTCCCTCATTTTCTAGCAAAAAGTCATCCAGGTCTTTTGAACCAAAAGCTACAGAAGAGTTTATAAGGAGGGGATTCTCATGTTGTGCTTTTGACTCCTGATGATGATAAATACTTCTTGATGAACAATAATCATTTTTATTGTCACCACCACTACCATAGTTGTACATTGAGTCCTCACCCTCTGAATGCTCACAAATGGATGAGTTCCTGTCTTGTTCCCTTTCTATCTCCCCCTCATCATTTTGTAACTTAGATTGAGCATCAAAACTGTCTAATTCACACCTTTTATCAGCTAGACAAGATAAACCACCTTCTCCAACTGTTATTTCACAACGTGAACCCTGGTCATCCACATTACTTAATGAATTTTGAGTATACCCTGCATTATCATCTGCATCACTAGACAAGTAATCCTCAGCACCTCCAAATTCATTACGTCCTTTAAACCCTTCAGAAACTTCTACAGCATTTTTGTGAACAAAATCCAGGTCCAAATTCTTATCTGATTGGTTAACCCTCATTAAACTTGATGCATCTAGCATAGTCATAGTCAGTTCGTCATTATCATCACCATAGAATTCCAATCCACTGGAAGCATAGTTTGAATTCTGTTGGCTTCTGATATTCTCACTGCCAAACCCAGTTCTGAAATCTCTCTTACCATCTAACACTTTGGGAGTCGAAAGCCTCTCAACTTTACGATTCATCTCAATTCCCTTGCGTAAATTGAAATTCTCCAAGCCATCACCACCCTCCGAATTGTTATCTAATTGGATGATCTCCATTGAACTCGATGCATCAAGCATGGTCACAGTAAGTTCATCATTATCAACACCGTAAAATTCCAATCCACTTAAGCCGTATTTTAATTTCTGCTGGTTTCTACTGTTCTCGCTGCCAAACCCAGTTCTGAAATCTCTCGTGCCGTCAGACACACTAGAAGTTGAAAGCCTCCGATCCCTGTGATTCATCTCAACTCGTTCACCTAAACTGAAATTCTCCAAGCCATTATCACCCCCAATACCGAAACTTTTCGCGGACCCGAAATCATATTCTGGAAAATCGTTGAAAACTGTGATCGCACTACACATACTCGGGGTACCCATGACAGAGTTCGCGCTACAGTAGCGGTCGAACTCAGACTCTCCGCATGACGAATACCGTGGTGATGGAAGAGAAGCATCACCATGGTCCGATTGCCGAACCCGCAAGGGAGGGAACGAATCTAACGGATCGGGAGAGGTGGCTTCACGAGTCCCCTCCCCGTGGCTCATTTGAAACTTCACTGATCATATAATTCAAAACTCGAAAATAAGCATTAAGAAGAAAACGAAATCAAACCTCCGACATGGCTTCACGGAAGCACAGCGCAAGATTCGCAGGGTTCAATCGATATGTCAAAATAGTAGGGACGCCCGAAGTCTTTGAACAGTAGGCAGCAACGAACACAGAAGTGAGAAGAAGGAAAAGGGGATGACGATTCTGAGGAAAAGGGATTGAGAAACTTGTTGCATTTTTTGTCTGCGTTTAATATAAGGGTTAACTGGGAAATTTTCAAAACTACCCTCATATGGCTTTCATATAACTACCAATCAACTCCGCCTCGCTTGTCTGAAACCAGTCAACAACGTTCAAGGAACACAGAGCCAGGATAAGAATCATGGAGATGCCCGCACGACCAATTCATCTTTACGAAACACATACGACACATCAGTTCAAATACAGATAAATAAATATAAAACAACCCACCCACCTAACAAAACGATGGTCAATAAAAAAATTCAAAAAATCCTTCAAAGGGATAGCTGATTTCTCTTGTACTAAAAACTGCTGCCACTCTGTTTTTTAAAATTTTGATTAAATAATAGATTAATTTGAATCAAAAATAAATTAAAAAATAAAATCTAAATTTAAATAGTAAAAACACAAAAATAAGAAACAAAAACAAAAATGATAAAAATAAAAGAAAAAGAGCTAGAAAGTATAATTTCTCACGGAGTGGATGACTTGTAATTAAGCTGTAAACAATAAATTGCATGGAAAAAATATATTCTATTCATGACTTTATATAACATTTATAAATTTAATAAAAAAAATTTCTCAATTATCATATACAAGTAACAAATTAGGATAATTTTTTATTTTTTATTATCAAGTATAAGCAATATTGCAAAATTTCTTAAACGTTTAGTGTCATCTTTACAAAAATGCTCCTGACCTAATTATTGACGCAACTATGTAGCTTTACTGGAGTACAATAAGAAAGAACAAAAACATTTACGAGCTGTTTGTTTTTTATTTTTAAAAAATAGAAAATTTTTTATTTGGTTTAATGTTTTTCATTTAATTATTTTTATTTTAATTTTTAAAAAAGAAAAAATTAGAAACAACTCTAAGTTGTTTTTGTTTTATTTTTCTTGTTTTTAAAATATATTAAATTTAATTATTGAAATTTATAGTTACCTTGATCAATATCACTACTATTAACTACCTATAACAGTCACTATCAATTCATTTTTTAATTGACATAACTAAATGAATTTTTATTTTATTTTGTTTTAAAAATAATTTTAAAAACTGTATTATAAAATAATTTTTAAAAGCAAAAAATGAGAGCAAAAACCAAACAAGTTCTTACACTACTATTCCTTAATATATGATATTTAGCTTCACTTGTTATTTATATTCTATACTCTTTCATATCCTTATTATAAGATGCATTCCAAAAAAATTTAATTTTTAATATAAAACACTTGATAGGATATTAATTACATTTTTATAATGTTACCCATATTTAAACCCATTAACTATAAGGAAAAATGTAATGTAAATTTGACAATTTTTCATTTAAAGTAAAATTGGGAGCTTATTCTATTTTTAGATAAAGTACTTAACCACCTCTTCTTAGTTCTCGTGAGATAATTAAAGGTGTTTTATAATAGGGAACATTTGTTAAAAGATGGAAAGACTAAAAAGCATATCATATATGTTAATTCATTCATGAGGATGCCATATTTTTATTTAGGGTTCGAACGGTCACTGAATATTTTAAACTCAGCTATAGGCTATTTTTGTCCCTCGACATTAAAGATTTCATCTCTTATCATATTGCTATTTTCTCACCATAACAGCTTTATTATGGTGCTGATGTGTACGTGTTGTTTGACTATGCATTTACAAGTGGATTAGAGGAGAAAGATAGATGAAGCTTATCAGAAAATGAAAAAAAAAAAAAAATTGAAGTCATCCTTTCTCCTCCATTCCTTCTCTCTACAATTCATCATAAAACACCCCCTTTGGACAACCTTCTTACTTTCTCCGATTGTCCCTTCTCTCTCCTCCATTCCCTCTCTCTCATACGTTTGATAACTAAGATCTTTAATGTCTAGTAGCCTCTACAAGAATTCATCAAAGTCATCTCCCGTGGCCAACATGTTGAAAATACCTTTTCTCCATTGTCACTACTCCACACTCTAATTAACAATTGTAAGGTCTCCTTTACTAAATCATAACTTTATTATTGACTCCTGGATAATTATGGAATTAACCCAGATGAGTTACCCTACCATGATTAATCATTTTCAAAACACTTTTAAAATCTAGTTGTATTTTTTCACAAATTAGGATCCCAAATTTTTGAAAGCATTAAAGGAACGATAGCATATCTATTTAAATATTTAAAATGAATGGAAGCATAGGATATCACCTTACACTAAAAGCATTGCAAGAAATTTGAAAAAAACAAGACAGCAAGAAATAGAGACAGGCATCGTGGTATACTCCTCTCTGTGTCACGTGCAACTGCAAGCTGTACATAACCGATAGTAAAGCTGCTATCAATTGATAGTAGCAGAGGCCAACTTTCAGTGTGCCTCATTTCTCCATCCGACGTCCAATTGAAGTAAATTATAATTTTCTTCGCATGACATCTTATCTATTTTCCTCTCTTCTATATGTGTTTTCTTCTAGTTCTTGGGGTTGTGGTAGTGTTGTCTGAATTTCTAGCAAATTTCTACCCATTTTAATGGAGTCTATGGGTATTATTTTAAGCTTTTAATCATTGGTTGTTGTTAATGGCAATGGCTAAAATTGTTCATAATGGGTTTGAGATTAGCCCTAGTACAAATTAATCAAGTTTAATCTGATACAGTAGATTAACAAGGTTAGTTAAGCTTAATAGAGGTTAAATAAAATAAAGGAATTAAAAATGAGGTTGTTTATTGTTAATATTGCTAATTAAGATATTAGGCCTTGATCACAATTAAGATCTAGTTAGTGATGATTAGTCATTAATGATGTTTGTCAATTCTAAATTTTATATTAACTACTCCTGGAGCTCATGGATAGTTCGTGAGCTTCCTCAAAATTCAAATTATACTTTTGGCATGGTAAATCAAGAGTTGAGGTAATCGAGAGTTAAATTATAGTATATGTGTATGTCTATATTTATGAGCTTTGATTATGTTATGTGAATGAATGGCTTTATGGTATGCTACTAAACACTCATATGTAAACATGGATTGATGGATATGATGTGTGTTAGGTGATAGTATGAGTATGTATCACATGACTAAATGGATTCAATGTTAGTTGTTTAAACTTGATTTGTTGATGATAATGTGACTGGATGTAAGTTGTTGAGTATGACTGTATGATTTAATGAGCATGAGAGAGATTATTAGATGAGTTAAGTATGTTTATTGTTATGATATCTCATGGCATCTAAAATGATGAACATGAATGTCATACCACGAATATGTGTAGTATGATATGATAGCGGTAATGTGATCTTATAAATTTATAATTTATGAACATAAGTATGATCATTTAGATGGATGAGTATAATCATAACTATGAACATGTCATTGTATAGATTTGCATGATCACTGATGGGTGGGAGTTCACCTGAGAAAGTAAGGGATTATAGAAATCTGTGTGGTACTCACCAATATCACAAAGCGTTAATGTTTTGGCTCTTGATTATTGCACCGGATCAGGTGAATTGACATCCCATGAGTTCAAGATAAGGAAATTCATGATCTGAGAATGAGTATGGGCCTTGGTATGGTCACCCCTCATAATTAAGAGCTAGGTTAATTAAGTCACATAGGATAATCCAATATAATTTAATGGCCCATGGGTTCAATAAAAAGTTATAAGGAATGTAATAAAGGTAGATGCACAATCATGCATAATTATCATCAGTTGTCTCACTTGTTTTTGTAGTCATGAATATATCATTGAGATACATGTTGAATAATTGTGAAATATATAAATGTGAATACAAGCCTTGATTACTTTTATGTGCCACACATCCATATGCTTGAATTTATGTGTTTGGCTATTGAGATTATATAATCTCACTCTTGTGGTTTCATATTTTCCAAGAGACACCCAAATTTAAGTCAAAAGGAAGCAGGCAAACCTAAAGACACTTAGCTAATTGTAATGTCTCTAATTATTCTTAGTGTGTAATTGAATAACTTATTACTGGCATTAGGAGACATTTGCATAGATTTTATTGTCTCTTGCTTGTAATATATGATGTTGATCTAGGCATCATGACATGAATTTTTATATTTCTTTAGAAATGAGTCAAGTGATGCATGCGGGTGCATGTTATAGGTTGCTCAATTTAAGGATTGTTAATTATCTCTAATTTGATTAGCCTCCTAATTGACGGTAAGCCTTAGGAGGTGTATCTTGAATGTTTATAACTTATGGATGTGAGTTAAGTGTTATGCATGTGGATCTATGTGTGATGAGTAAGTTTGGCCTAGTTGTAGATGCTAATGACTAAGAGTTAGAGGTTTGGGGACACTTGAGTGATGTGATGATTGTAGTTGTATACTTATAATCCCAAGTGTCCAAAATTCTCATATGATACCGAATTGTTATGAAACCAAAGTCATTATCTAGATTATTTAATTATCTTCATGTGGGCACTTAGATTACTTGCATTGGAGGTATAAGTAAAAGTTAAGAGCATCAAAAGTTAGGTCCCAATTGCTATAATATCTAATGCTGAGATGGTAAGTTGGCCACTATAGATTACTGGCCGTATCGTATAACATAGAGAGTGTCAACTATGGTGAATTATGTAGTTGGCCATGACGAATGTCCTTTATGAGGCAAGTTATGGTGGATGGTGCCGATGGCTGCTATAAGTGTTTTCTGTACCATGAGCCATGACGGATGGTCTTGTTTTACTAAAATGACTCTTTTGACCCTGTTCTAATTTGTTTTAATGCTCAAGCATTTTCCCTTGTTTCCATAACTAATATTATACTCTAACCTTAAACTATTTTAAGAGCCTTTTATAAAAGTATTCAAATCTAAACTATTTTATTTTTGGGATCTCACTTAGTTAAAAGTATTCTCAATCAATCTTTTAAGTGTTAAATAGTCAACGTTGATCTTATCTTCCTTTGATATATCCTTAATTTAGCTTATTGGCTATAAGAATGGTGGCTATATGTGATTAATGCTAGAGGACATTACAAGACTTATGGGATCATCAAGCGAACTACAAAAGTTACTCAAACGTAGACCCAAATCCTTCTCTTATTTAATGAAGTGCCTATCAAAAATGGGGAAAAGAGAGTGTGCCTATCAGAATTGGGAGGAAGAGAAAAAGCAAGTGGGGTTTGTCGCTTGGTTTGTTAAAATAAAAAATAAAAATATATATTTTATTATAAAAAATTATTAAAAATGCCAAAATGGTGGAACCAACAATCAAGGAAATGCATACACATTAGCACGCTAACGATATGGTGAAGGCAGGTTGACAGCCAGAGTATGGGGTAGAGTATTTTGAAGGTTAAAGGATAAAAATAACTTGTACTAAGTTTATGATGCTCACAAATTCTTTGGATAAAATTGAGGAGTACCTTAACATTTTTATTTATGAAATATGTATCTACCCAGACTAGTGTGAATAGTGTGACCATCACTTTGGATAGAGAAATACATAACTCAAACTCAACCAGAGGGAAGCTCCATTAATGTGTGTCCCTCATCATACTTGTTCAGTCAATTACAATTCATGGGCGTGGCCTTCATTTTCTTCCCATGAATAACCCAACTCGCGTTCCAATCCATTATACCTATCTTCTGCTTTGGTGAGGATGGCGAAATTAATGAGATAGGGGGGTTTATAAATTCATGGCGTGTTTCATTGAAAGAATAGAAACAAATTTATCAAGTTTAAATTTAAAACCGACAAAATTCAATAAAAATTTGATTCATAGTTTATAAAATTAGGGAATCAAATTTCACAATTAACATGAAAACCTTGTCGTTGAATAAGCTATAAACACATTTATAAGCACTATTTGAATTTAGAGGAATACTTTAGCTCTGGTGAATCCTCAAAAATTAACTCACCTAAATTTTTTTAAAACAAAAAAAGTTTAATTTTAAAAAAATGGTCAAAACATAAATTTTATTGTAATTATTAATTTTTTTAAACTGACTTTTACTAAGTGAACATTTTGATGAATCAATTTTTGGCCTACAAAAGGTCAAAGAGCCAAAAATAAACACTAGAAGAAAAGATGACAAACAAAAACAGGATCCTAATCCATTGTACTGATTCCCCTTACCCAAACCCCCAAGGGTATAACTAAAGTATTGACACTTAATTTAAATTAATTAATCTTTTTAGGATTTATTTATCATTCTTCCTAAAAATAATGTATAAAGATTGAGAACATGATTATTTATTATTAAATAAATTGTTGATGGAAAAAATATATCATTTGATTTAGTGCCCATGGTTTAGTATTATATGATTTAGCGGCAAGGATTTATTTTTATATTTAAGTATTATATCAGATAAAATAAGATATATAATTATACAACCTAGTTAAATATTTTATCATCATTTATTGATTTTAGGCAAATTTAAATTTAATTTTGAATTTGAATTATTATTTTACTGTTTTGAGAGCACTATTAATGGAGTTAAGGTTATTCGTTTGTATGTAGATTAGATCAGATTTTGAGTATTAAATAAAAATTTTTTATTTTTCTAATCTCCTTTTCCCTTTCTCTTTCTTCCTCCTCTCTCTTCTATTTCTTTTCTTCTTCTTCTTCTTTCCTTTTTCGTTTTACATCACTCATTCACTTGTAACATAAAAAATGTTAATCATTTTTTAACAAAATGTTCTTGTATAAAAACTGATCTGAACTTCTCTTGTATATTTTCTCTAATTCAATAAATTTAAGAGTAAATGATGAGTAAAAAAAAGTAATTGATACTTTGTTAAAAATAATCATTTTAAGATAAATAAAAACCCTAATCTGCTCTTGTTAATTATTTAAAAATGTTCTGAAAGTTCGATTGAAATTGTAGCAAGAGAATCAATCCTGAAGGCTAATTGAAGTCTCAGAAAACTGTTGTTTCATCTAAAATCTTGTCCGTATTTAATGCTACTGACAAATTACAAACTCGCATTTGTGTTCCAAAGGGATCCAATATGAAACAACGTGAACGTATCACGTTCTAATAAAATCAAATTGCGTTTGCCGTACTACTTCTCCTTTGACTTTTTTGCATTGTCGTAGTTTTTTGGTACTTTGATTTTCTTATTCTCCACCTGTCAATTCCCTGATTATGCTCTGGCTTTCATTTTTCTTACACGCAGGACTGTTAAATGTTACCAAGCCAAGATGACACTATCAATTTCACTGGTCATCATACATATCTAGTACAAAATTTATAATAAGACTCATTCAGAAATTGCAAATAATGTGACGCATTTTTTTAAGCTCGGTATTATGAAGCCATCAAAGTTGCAAGCAACAGGAAAGAAAGAAAGAAAGAAAAGAAACTACCTAAGTGAAAAAAATCCTGTTCAGAGAAGCAAAACCTATCATTGTGATCTCTATATCTCGAAAGAAATTAGTCCTTTAACGAGGATACCTTGATGTGAAAAAATAGTAAACCGTTAAAATTAGATGAACATGTATGCTGTTTGGAATTTGATAAATGAATCGCATTAATTTTAATTTATAAAAATTATGCTATTATAAATGTTATATTTTATATTGATAAAAAATTAATAACACTGGCATTAATATCAATAATCTCCTCTTATTCCTGATTGGAGATGTTGGCGGGAGGCATCCAAAGATAAGACATGGCATTTTTTTTATATAAAAAAAGTTAGGTAAATTGGATCTCCAGGTTCATTAACGTGAAAACATGTATATATTATTCACTAATAAAATTCTCACATTAATAATTTTATAAATTATAAGTCAAATCTTTATCAATTAAATTAATATTTGTTAGTTAAGACAAATTTTTTTTTTCAAAAACCAACAAAAGATAGGACAGTTCAAAATCTCACTTTGTGGCCCAAAAATAAGCCCGCCACTAGAATCAGTCTTAACCAGCGCGTATTTTGCTTACTTACGGTAAATAGATGGGCCATGAGGCCCGAAACAAAGAGATAAAACTACAAGTTCACATAGGAAACTTAGCCTGGAGAATTATCAAAGTCCAAAGACTTCAATTTGAAAGATGACGTGCAAAAGAAGAGGCTAAAATGGAACTGTCCATACCAGATCCACGCGTCTAGTACGTAGCTGTAGCCTGTAGAGTAAGGCTCTACATGAAGAGGGAAAGAACCGGTACGCAGACGGACTCGGTTTCAGTGCTCAGCGCCAAAGCACTGCCGATTGGCAGTGTTTTTTTTTATTTTTCTTTTCTTAAATCACAAATTTATTATTAATTTATTATTATTATAATAAATAATTGTTATAAAATTATTATTTTAATATTTAATAAATTAATAAATATTAAGATGTTAAAATTAAACTTAAATAGTTTAAATAAAAATTTTGATTTGAACATTAAGAACTGTAGTGAAATAAATAAAAAATGATCTGAATAATTTAAAATAAGGGTTGAATTTAATAAAATAAGTCAGTTTCTTATACTGTAATAAATTAATATTTGAATTTTTATTAAGAGAAGTATCTATATTTAATATCTGATTATGCCTTGAATAATATTATCTCTACTAAATAAACAACTGTCCAAAATCAATAAAATAAAAAAATATTTTAATGAATTAATTTGTTCATATTTAATCTTAACATCTTAATATTTATTTGTTATTTAAATATTAAAATAATAATTTTATAATATTTATTTATTATTATTATAATAAATTTGTGGTTAAAAAAGGTAATTAAAAAAAAAACACTAACAAACGGTAGTGCTTCGGTGCTGAGCATTATAGTGCTTATCTTAGAATGAGCACACTGAAACCGATTCTGTATGGAGACTGGGAGATTTTTCTCTTAATACAACGTGCAGTCACAAATCAATTGGTGTTAAATTTAACAAAATTTTCACAATTCTCAAATGTATCTCATTTAATATTCAACAGTATCTCAAAGATAATTAACTCTAATAAGAATATATTTATAGAAAACTAAAAAAAAAAAAAAAAGTACACAGAATACGTGAAGCATGCCCCAAACCTATGCCACCACGATTCATGACTCTCAAAGAATTCTAAAAATAAAAACATTTTATAACTTTAGCATTCTTTATCGACTCATTAAAGAAGGGTTGAGAAATCTTCGACGAGGAAGGATCTAATAAATTTTGGATGCTTGAGCGTCACCCTGCTTGCCCATTTCCAATCCTCTAAAATCCTTTTCTTAGCACTGACGGCGTTCTGTCGTCCTTCGTGTCCTTGGTTGCAAGCTCTCTTTAACTTTTGAACCTCTTCACTGCTATATAGTCATCAAGAAGCAATCTCATTATAATATTCGATTTTAAAGCTGCCTAACCAACAAAGCTATCAATATCACCTTAAAGAACTAATTATACTTCCGACACACCAAAAAGTGGAAGGAAAACCCATAAACAATTCAACCCAGATTCCTCAACACTGCCAAATGAATCATGCGTGTGTGTCTGCAGTGAATAAAACCACCCAACAATTAACACTTTTCTCATCATCAAATTATAACCAAGGCAAGTATATCTTCATTTTCAGGCAAGTGTTCGGTGCTTTGTCCCTTCCATCCTCAATCTCTCTCAGTCATGCCCATTTTTTTCCTTATACTCCGTCTCATCTTCTCGTCCTGTCTAATCCCGTTAAGCTCCGGCCATCCTCACTCATGCCGATCATACTGTGGAAACATAACCATAGACTACCCATTTTCACTCCAATACGGTTGCGGCCACCCCGGCTTTCGCGACCTTCTCTTCTGCATCAATGACGTTCTCATGTTTCACGTAAGCTCCGGATCTTACAGGGTCCTGGACATAGACTACGCTTATCAGGCACTCACTCTCCACGAGCCACACATGTCAACGTGCGACAAGATTGTGCTTGGTGGCCGCGGCAATGGGTTCGCAGTGGAGCCGTGGCGGCAGCCCTACATGAATCCGACGGCTGACAACGTGTTCATGCTCATAGGATGCGCGGCCGAGTCACCTTTGTTCCAAGGTTTTCCAGGAAAGAACCTGCCTTGTCGAAACGTTTCGGGGATGAGCTGCGAAGGGTTTTATGGGTGTCCGGCTTGGGACATGTTGGGCCACAAGCGGGTTGGGCCACAAGCGTCGTTCTTTGCGTCAGGCCCACCGGAATGTTGTGCAGTCCCGTTTGACATTATAAAGGCTATCAACCTTAGCAGGCTTGGGTGTGAAGGGTACAGCAGTGCCTATAATCTGGCACCGTTGAGGGTCGATGGGCCTAAAGGATGGTCTTACGGGATACGTTTGAAGTATTCGGTGCAAGGGAATGATGGGTTTTGTGCAGCGTGCGAGGCCACTGGTGGCACGTGCGGGTTTGGTTCGGACGGAATCAGACAGATTTGTATGTGTGGGAGCACCAATTCAACGTCCAACTGTGATTCAGGTCAGTTAAACAAACGAATTGTGAAAGAAAATAGTACCTGGTTCTAAATGCATCAATCCAACTCACCGAAATCAAGAAAATATAATTAAATTATTAATTTTGTTAAAAAATAAGATAAATTTTTTATTTTACCCAGAAGACTTTTATATTTGTATGAAATTTTCTCACATATTTAATGATTTTATATAAAAATAATATTAGAAAAACTTAATTAATACTTCACAAATTTTATCCCCTCTAATAAAAGGAAGAAATTCTTAGATGAATCGGATATATCATTTCATTTGTAATATGTCCAACAAAAACATGACATTTAGATTATATTAAATAAAAATTAATTTTAATATTAATGATAGTAAAAAGAGAAAATATAAAAAGCTAAATATAAATTATGTTATGAAAGTAAAATCAATTAAAATAATGTTACATAAAATTTTATTTAGATAACTTTGGTCATTTTAATTAAATAGATTATAAATAACATGACGTACTCAATCTATTTAAAAATTGCTTTCTAAAAAATGCCTTGTAAAAAGGACAGCAGAATACATATGAATATATATGATTTATTTGTTTTAAATTTGAGGGATATTTTGTAAGGTTTTAATTTTGAAGAGTATCCCTTTCTTGCCGAGTTATTGTTGATCATAAGTGTAACGTTAAACTGGCTCTTTCTGCAAATTTACAGTCAGCTTGTCGTCGTCGGACACAGCAACAGCAAGGTCTATGATGATGAAAATGTTTGCAGGTGAGCATCTAAATGAGAGTGAGGTTTCATGTTTCAGCAAAACTATCATGTGGCTCTAATTAAGGAGGGATCTTGTTGTCTAACAACTTTTTGCAGGATCATGGACGTATATGCTGCTATTGATGACAACTATCTGGATCTGGATTTGAATAATTGCTTTTTTTTTTTTTTTACCACCGATTTCAATGTTGACCACTACTACCTGAGAAAATCAACAAAGAGTGGAATCGAAACTCATTTTGTAAATAAATTTTTGGCTGAAGCACAGGAACGGATAATAGGAGTTTGGGAGGATGGGGGTGAATGAGAGTGAATTATATTACTTTGTTTTGTATTATGTGTCTTCATTCTATCTATTGCTTTTCATAAACTGTCTCCATTCTCATTTTCCTCCCTTAATACGCGACAACAATATTCCAAAGTGAAGGTATAGCAGGGGCCAACCAGTTACTTCACAATCATGGCCAAAATTAAATAAACAGATTCACCTTTCTTTACTTTTGTTAAAATTGAAGAAATCTCTCGTTTATTTTCAAAATTACTAATCTACCCTTCAAAACTTAAAAACACTCAATTACTATTCGAATAACCAGCTCCCTTTGCCTGAACTTCATCATTGACGCTTAACCCCTCTCATGAAGTCAAGCAGAGAAATATTAATCATCCTCCATACTCGGAGAGGTTTAAGTATATTTCTTCTAAAATGGACAAGAGAGCTTTATAGTTAAAGTTTGCATATAAACCAACACAGTTACTCATCTAGCATAGCCTGATAAAAAATCAACCAGCCCATCCCCAAAAGAAATCAGACACCTTTGAAGCGTGCTGAAAATCGTGCAATATATATTAACCTGCTCCTTTGGCCCAACACAAGGCATATAAAATGACGTTTTATTAAGTATTGGTTTGATGAAATTTTTTTAAGGTACAAATGATATTTATATTTCTTTTCTTTTTTTAGCTTGTTTATGTGAATTTTATCTTGCTTCGCAAGCAATATACTTTTTTATAAAAAAAAATCAAGAGTTTTCATCACGCCATCTGTCATCATGAGGAGGATAACACTACTGCTTAGACAAGGTAACCCAATGCTACCAAGCCTGAAACACTAGGGCATCGCATAGGCAGGGTTAGATTGCAAGCTTCAACATTCAACTAATTAAGCCCAACCCTACCTAGCCTTACTCATTGTTCAAGCCCATACACCAAGCGTGGTCAGTCCGTTCATAAACTTTAAACCCAACTTCAACAAATACACCGGCCTGTTGTTTTGACTGAAGACTTAATTTAGCCCAATAGAACCTAGCAGACCTACTCTAAGTCAAGAACTAGGTTGATTAACCATCAAATATTGATTCAACTAATAATTTGACTTATAACTTACAAAATTATAAAATCAAATCTTGCCATTAATGTAAAAACTTTTTTAACAAGTGACCTATAAGCATTCTTTGAACTTGAAAATATATCCAACCTGAAAAATCCCAAAACCTAAATCATCTAAATTTTATTGTCAAGAAAAGAAAAGAATTAGGTTGGCTATAGTATTTTCTTTTTAAAACAAACAAAAACCTACTCTAAATCAGCTCCCTACTATAGATAAATCTTAATTCCCTAAAGCGTCACCTTTCCTCTTGCTCTCCTTTGCGTATTACTGAAACCTCCAGTGCAGAGAAGAATAATTACTTTTACATATTACCAAAACTAAATTTCTCATCCATGATAATTATACATCTCTTGGCTCATTCATATTCAGCGAGGCCTTCCCTGCATATATCCAGTGATTCTGAAAAATACAAAATTGATTCAAGAAATCTTTGTAACTCCATCGTCTTGTATTCTCTGCAATTGTAGAGATGTGATGGGCAAATGAAATTAGCAATACGATTGGCATGAAAAGTAAATAATAATAATTATAATGATAAAAGCCGGTCTCAAAAAAATAAATAATAATAATAATAAGGATCGGTTTACTTACACTTGAGACATCCTTCCATGTGTTCAGAGTCTTTAGAGCCTTCCCAGATTCTTGCGTCTCACGGGCCAAAGACACTCCTTCGCCCAAGTTCTTCGCATGGCCACTCACCAGCAGAGCTGCTGCTGCATTGAGGACCTAGCCATTTTTTTTTTTTTTGGCGTAAGTAAAACAAAATAGATCTTTCAGTTCACGTGCATTCAGAGTGCAAGATGAGAATCGAAGTACTATACAAGATGCTATGATTTACCTTGCTAAGAAAAATGAAAAAGGAAAAATAATAAAGAATAAACGTTTATTTCAACATCAATAGGTACACTGAAGGAACATGAGGGAAGGGTAGAGCGGTCAATACTAAACCACCACTACGTTTCTTCTGGTCAGGATGTAAGGTGTTTCATGGTGGGAGTTCGAGGAAACATTTGAAAGAAAAGCAGGATTTCAACAAATTCTGATGCTCTAATTTGTTTCTGTGGTTAACCTCCACATGATTTCTACGGTGAAAGTTTCAGGGAAACATTTTAAAAAAGAACCCACCAAGATAAGTTATCAACAAATTATAATGGTATATTACATGTTTTAACAATCAATTAGGGAGCCGAGTTTCACCACCTGACGTTTCCGAGCCATGACAGGAAAAGGATGCTCAACTTGAAAAATGTGCAAGAATTTTCCAAGGGAGAAAAGAGCAAACTAAGACAGAATGTAACGAATTCAGCCTCAGTAATAAGTATCCAATACGGAAGCCTGAGGATCATGCTTATATGCATGTGCATACATGCAAGCATGTATAATGTGTGTGTGTGTGTCCGAGGTTAACTTCTTATCAGTTAAAGTGGTACCATCATCTCAGCTGCTTAAAGATTAGGAAATTAAAAGCTACTCACAAAAGCATCAGCTATGGGCCCTCTCTCTCCAGCTAGGACACGCTTCAAAATCTCTGCATTGTATTCTGGGCCACCACCTTTCAAGTTATCAAGGTTGCACCGAGGTATATTGAACTCCACTATTCCAGGGGGGAAATAGTTCTCACGTGTCAGTGCATTCAACTATCTATTGTAAATAAAAAGATCTCCCATAGCACACTAATTTAGACGCTAGTGTATTGTATCAAAATACTTCACAACAAATAAGATGTAAAAAACCATTAATCTATCATATGCTTACATGGATCAAATTGGAACTTGTCAATCTTTTCTGGAGTGACATCAAGTATCAAACCAGGACCTGTGGGAAACACACAAGAATACCAAAATACAGGTGTCAGGAAAATCTGATTCAAATACCTATAGCTACCAAATAAAAAATCATCAAAATTGCAATGAAAGCAAGAGGAATTGCCAAGGGGACTCATTTCATCCAAGCCTTCAGAGTGGACAACCAGAGCCCTTTTCATGCCAAATCTTTGAAGTGCCTCAGCCATTTTGAAGACCTAGCCAAAAAGCCAAAACAAACAGCTTATTAGATGCAGCATATGAGGATGAATAGATATCAAATCCATCAATTTATACCGTTAGTTCCTGTACAACTGTCAAAAAGCAGTAACTACATAATCCACTAAGTTTTACTGTCAACTCGCTAAGAAAATGTCTTATATACTTGGATTGGTGCCAGCCATTAAATTAAATCATGGGCTCTTCTAGGTAAACTAAATTTTTAGTTTGACTTTAAGAAATCCTATTCCATGGAAACCTTATCACAGTAGGATAAATAGATATTAACCTTGAGTGAATCAGCCAGTCTTAAGTAAAAACGATCGTAGGATTTAATCAATAGTTTACATAGTACCCAGCAAAACATGCTTGGAATTCTATCTTACTATATGGCAAAATATGAATTCAAGTTAGTGAATCAGTTGTTTTGGAGGCCAGTGTTTTTGGAACCTAGATTACAGATCAATTGAGATAGTTTGACACTTTTTTTTTTTTTTGGGTGGGGGAGTGGGGCTAGCGGAATGGGTTCTAAGGGCGATGCATAAGTTCATAATTGATAAATCAAGTTGTCTGCCACTATTATTGTTAGTATTTAAGATATTATGAGCAAATAGTATTCATATATTGTATGACTTCATAATCAGGCATATTATATAGCTGCAAATCAAATATGTGAAGGAAAGATTCAAATAGTTTTCTACTGCGTAAATGATGTCGGATGCTAATGAATTTAATTCTCAGTTAGCAGTAGCAAATAATTAATGAACGTACCAGATCTTCCGCATATACCCCAACAACTGCATAAGGTACTCTTGCTGGATTTAACATGGGACCCAATATATTGAAAACAGTTTTTACTTTTAGCTTTTTTCTTATAGGACGGACAATCTTCATGGCAGGGTGGTACTTTGGAGCCATCATAAAACCAATTCCAGCTTCATTCAGGCACCTTATTATTCCCTAATTTGTGCTCACAAAAGAGAACAATAAATTCAAATTACTACACACATTAGTCAATATCAAGAATATAGCTTTGCTTCATTCTATTAACTAAATAGAAGTACATAAGGTTCAATACCCTCCTTCACTCTTAAGAAATCCACACTTTGAAATGGATTACCTTGTCTTGTGATGCACTTTATCTTAGACTTCAAGTTGGAAGCTCATGAGAAAACCATCGAAAATTTTTATGTCCAGAAAAGCATACCCGTGAGCATAATTTATTATTACCACTTAAATAAGAACAATTCTAACACTATTCTACCAAATTGATGACCAGAAATACATCCAATGTCCTAGACAAAGAACCTCTCATTTGATTATTAATTAATGATTAATATATTAATATTACTGCCAAGTTCTGTTCGTATATATTTATCCCCCAAATGACAGAGGGCTAGAATGAACTGATACAAAAGTCAAAATCCTAAACTAGTCCAAATTTACCACTCTTGATACATTTTGCACTAACCTCAGGATCTAAGTCAATAGCCACTCCCAATGCTTCTAGTACATCGGCACTTCCACACGCAGAAGAACTCGAACGGTTTCCTTGCTGCAGTAAGAAAAAAAATCAATTACACTTCGATACTCAATATATTACAGCTCCATCAACAAATGCTCCCATTGTAGAGTAATTTTCTGCCTCTCTGTCAATATGCGCACTAAAATACATCTTCACCTTCGCAACTTTAGCACCACAAGCTGCAGCAAGTATCGAAGCCCCAGTTGAAATGTTTACAGTGTTTGCACCATCGCCTCCAGTACCGACTATGTCAACCGCATCGACCAATCCTTCGACCTTCAGGGCATGTTTGATCATCGCTCTTGCTAATCCCACAATCTATTTTTTTGGTAACATAATCCCACAATCTATTTAGATAATAGTAACAGTAATAAAAAAAATACAATCCTTAGCCAGGGAAGAACCCGAAAGCAGCAAATTTTTATTTTTATTTTTTTGGGTGGAAGAACCAAAAGCAGCTGACTTACTTCTTCAAAAGTCTCTCCTTTGGCTCTCAAAAGCACAAGAAAAGCACTTATCAATGCCTCATCCGCTTCGTTCAATAAGAAGTCAAGGGAATCTTCCGCTTGGGCTTCCGATAAACTCTCCCCATCAATCAACGACTCAATCAACTGCACCATTCAGGTATGCAAAATAATTGACGATAGGAAAATAATGAATGAACAAATTTACAACAAACAAAACCCAAACAAATAAACGATGAACAAAAGACATGATAGTAAACCTGGCTGAACGACTTGATCGACGAGCCTGTACTCTGAGCAACGTTGACCTGAGCAGGAATCACCAAGTTCTTATGCTTTTGGGGAAGAATTGGATGTGAAGAAGAACAATGTCGTAGATTATGGGTCGGGGAGAAATACCGATGACTGAATAAAGGGGGAGAAGCAGAGGAGAAAGATGTAGACAAAATCCTAGCCATGGCTAGTTGGCTTGGCTCTGGTCTGAATTCTGAACACAGTGGAGCTGAATATTTGGCGGGTTCTGAAGCTATAGCCTCGCTCAAAAACAGTGAATCCGAACAACGTTCAGGGTATATCTGCTTAGAAATCACTCAGAATCCTCCATAAGATTTGTATAGTAAAAAACTGATGGCAAAAGATGAAAATAAAGGAGAAGAAAGAAGCGCTCTAGCATTTCCCAAAAATAGGCATTGCTAGTACTCGCGCCCGCCTGCTCGACGCTGTTAGTTGCTGGAACCGGTTTCGGTGCTCAGCAAGCTGCCGAGCACCCTGATGCTCATCATCCAGTAAGATCTGGATGGTCCAGGTTTTTTTATTTTTAATTTTAATTTTAATTTTTATAAAAATAAAATTTATAAATTTTTTTTATAAATATATTCATCATCAATCTATTAATTAAATTTTAAATTTAAAATAATTTAATTTAATATTATAATTTTTATAAATTAATTATCTAAATATACTCTAAATAAGAAAGGTTAAATATTAAATTTTTTAATAATTTTTTATTTTATTAAATTTTTAATATTTTTTACTTAATAAATATAAAATAAAAGCTTTAAATCTAGACCTTAAAAATAAAAATTTAATATTAAATTTAAACCGTTCAAAATACATTTAGATAGTTAATTTATAAAAATTATAACATTAAATTGAATCATTTAAATTAAATCAGTACCATCTAAATTAATGATGAATATATTTATAAAAAATTATAAATTTTATTTTTATAAAATATAAAATATAAATTGAAATTAAAATTAAAATTGAAAAAAAATGAACCATTCAAATTAAAATTTGAATGATTCAGATCTTATTAGACGATGAGCACCACGATATTCAATAACTTGCTGAGCACCGAAACCAGTTCCGTTAGTTGCTTGATTGGTGAGCTTATTGCGGGGATAGTTCTAAAAAATTTGGGCAAAGAAAGTTATACCCATTCGCATAAATTATGTTGGCCTCTTATTTTTCATGTTTTCTTGATAACCATATCAATTATTTTGACATTTCCCAATGATTTTTCTTGAAAAAAATTCAGGTTAAAGCTAAACCAACCTGACAGCCAATTTAGCTACTCACTAAAAGTACTTTAACCACATCCTAAAAGTGATTAAAAGTATATTTTCATTTTTGGAAGTGTTTGGTTTATTTTCAATTTCAATTTGCTTAACATTTTCATGAAATCCAAATAGACTTTTGCTTAACTCTCCAAATAACTCTCCCAACAGGCCAGCATGACTTGATGACGTGAGACCAAGCTGGTGTTTGTCTTAACATTTTCAAGTATAGGATTTGGCTTTGCTCCTCTTAGACTTTTTTCAAAGGAGCGTCCGCTGCACCCTCCAACCAAATCTTTTAGACGATCTAAATTTAATTTTTTATTTTTTATTTTCATTAAAATAAAAAATTATAAAAGTTATAAATTTTTTAAAAGAACCTTGCTACCAATTTGGGAAGCTTAGATTTAATATTAATAGTCTAAATTTAATATTTACCAAACAATACACTCTAAACAGTGTAAATTTGATATGAATAGTTTAAATTTAATATTAACAATTTTTATAAATTGGTTATCCAGATATCCTTAGAACAATGCAAATATCTATTAAAAAGCATTTTTTAAAATATATTTAAAAAATTATAAGTTAAATATTTTATATCAAACTATACATATAGTTAACTTATAAAAATTATAAAAAAATAAATATTAAATTTAGATCATTAATATTAAATCTAATCTGTTCAGATTAGTAACAAAGTTTTTTAAAAAAATGTATAATTTATAATTTTTATAATTTTTTATTTTAATAAAAAAATGTAAAATATTAAATTTGTCTAAATGATTCAGATTTGGTTGGGATGCACAACGGACACTCATCTAAGGAAAACCTCAGAGAGCAAAGCTAAGTCCATGAACGTATCGGATATCTCTCTAACTTTATATATAAATCACCTTTTAAAATAAATTCTTTTTATAAGTCCCTATGATTCATCAATTATTTTTTAAATTTTATCTTCGTAAAGAGTAGAAAGTTACATAAAAAAGAAAATATTTTTAAAAATGAAGCATTCAATAAAAATAAATTAAAAAGTTTCTTTCTTTTTTTTTTTAAGACAAAGTAAAAAATGTAATTACATCTCTTGATTTTGATAAGATGGTAAAAATTAACTCATGTATAGGGACAGGACCAAGAAGAGTAAAATTTGCTGTGTTTCATTGGCCCCAAGGTTACGTGGATAGGAAGATTGAAGAGTATACTATTTCATTGTTAAACTCAACAACCCATGATGACGCCCATTTGAGATTTTCCTGTGAACGTGGCTTGGCTCAGCAGCGGCAGCTGGTGACTGAAAGCTTCCACGATCTTGAACAGTCAGAAAAGCTCCAAAACTGTCGCTCTCCTCTTCTCCCACGCCGAAACCAGTTAGTATCAAAATTTCTTTATATTATTGGTTTTCGTAACTTGATTGTTACACATCCATATTACGCAGTTTCGATAAAATTTAGAGAGCATAAACTGTTCGTAAATATTTTTTTTGGGGGGGGGGGTGGGGAGTACACAGAAACGCCCAATTTATAAATTGGTTGCTTTGAAAAAAGCACCACTACATAATACAGAGTAATGGCAGAAGTTATTTATTACCCAGTCATATTATACAAGCCAGCATTCTGTACGGCTGTTTAGAGCTGGGCAGAGTTATTGGCGATGGCACCAGCACCAATGAGAAGTGGAGTAAGTTGACCTGCTTGGTATTTCGCCATGACAGCTGCAAGATTCAAGGGATAGGATGTTAAACATGGGAAGAAAGCAAACGAAATATGAACATGCTCACTAAGCGTTTTTTCATCATGTTGGATAAATAATCTAAATGGATCTCATGGAAAGAATTACAATTACAATTATATCAAAGACTCGTATCCCATTTATATAAGGCTTCTAGTAAAAAAAAATTATATAAGGCTTATATCCCATTAAACTCATTTTTAAAATTTCCCTTCAAATATACTATGAATTCACTCATAAATTGAGAGGGTCAGCATGAAAGAAGCTTAAGTGTCCCCTTACAGTCACAACCACCGATGTGCTTTCCTGCTATAAACACATTAGGCACGGTCCTTTGTCCGGTCCATTCAGCCAGAGCTGTCTGAATATCACCCCCGTCACCTTCAAATAGTGAAAAGCAAATCTTTAGATGAAACTTCATTTTTTGAATGAAAACTGAAAAATTCTATTCACTAACGGAAAAGAAACAAGATACAAGGTAAAGCATACAGAAAAGCCTAACTTTCATCATACCCCAATCTCTTATGAAAGACGAAAGATGGTTTATGATCAAAGTTTCTAATACAGCATGACCATATGTAGCCTAGAAATTCATAGCCATTTGCTCCTCTATACATGAAATTAATAAAAACGTTCTAATCCTAACTCAAAAAATTAACAGTGTCTTGAATGATATCTCTTCAGTGGAATCTGGAAATAACGAAATACTAGTAGTTAAAGCCAGCAGCATGCTTCTCAGTCAGATGCCATTTAACTTTAAAAAAGAAAAATACAAGAAAAAATGCACAACGTCAAAGATAAAACATCAATCAATCCATAGAGTCGTGACAACCAAAGCCTAGGTCGTAACTCAGAAGATCAATGAGATCAATAAGATGCTATTTAACTTAACAACCACATAGTAGCTGATTCATGTATGTAAATGTACTGAAGTCTGGATATATGTGGATCGATCACGTATATGAAGCAGCTCAAGGTCTTCAGAGCAAGCAAAAATACATCCAGAAGCAAATTATCTTCCACCAAGGTTGTGGTTTCTTTGAAAATTTAAATGAAAACTCCATTGCAAAGGGTCAATGCCTTGACATTAAAAGAAGGCTTAGTAGCTAAAAGCAAGGCGGCTCTCAAGATAATGTTATAGCACAGCAGTTTATATAGTGGATGATCAGGTAGGAAAAAGACGTTCAAAGGAAATCACTGAACAGCCAATCCGCCACAGTTGTGAATGTAATAATTAGGAATTAATTAATGGGCAAACTACAAAAGACAAATGGGGAGAATACCTGAATTATGATCAAAAGACAGCTACAAACTACAAAGTAGTCCTCAAATCAACTTGTATAAACATACGAAGCTAGGGAGCTCTCAAGGCAGGTTTTGAAAATAACAATATTAATGTATCGAAAGTATAAAGCTTGATGATTTATCAAGAGGATCCAGAGAAACTTACTTTCCTCATCTAATTCAATGACCTTAAACGCTGCCCCTAGCTGATTTAAGAGATCTTTGACCCTCTTGCAGTAACCACAGTATGTCTTACTGCCAGTAAATTTTCAATTTTCAAATGAATCATAGATATGACAAGCAGAAACAGTATAAGAAAAGGCACCAATTGGAGGAGGGGAGAGTAAGAGTGCAAAATGAAAAAGCAATGAATGCTTCGCTAAAAATCTACTAAACATAGCAGCCATATTTGAATTAAAAGGCGCGTACATGACACAATTAAGTTAAAGGAAATTTTTTCCAAACGAAATCATTGAGATAAAAAGGCGCATAAATGCACAATCACGCAAAGGAGCTCATATCAGTTTCCTAACAATGTATTAGGATCTATGAAATCAATGCTCAATAGACAACAAATATAAAACCTCGCCTGAAAACTGAAAGTGTATTTGAACAACTGAATCAATCAGAAACTCGAATTGGAGGTGGACTTATCCATTCTTTCAATGGCCAAAGAGGGACATCTTGCTTCTCACTTTAATATCAGGTTTACCGAATACTACAAACTGACCATTTCTAGCGGCCGTTAAGGATAACAAGAACCATAAGTCCATAACCCTTTCGGTTATAATTTTGTCCAAATCCCCACAGTTCACGCTCCACACTATACAACCATTCCCTTTAATTTCTATAAGGCCGAGAGCTGTATAAAAAGGAAGAAATAAACACATAAACAATATGCCTCCAAACTATAAGCCTGGCTGCAAAATTTCCCTCTGACAAGGAATTCGCTTCTAGCTGGTCACTGTAAGTTTCAGGTGAAATCAACTAGTACGAAAATCAAATCTTCACAACAATTCCATTTATATGAACCCTTCCACTGCCATAACGTTTACACAAATAAAATCATAGAATGCTCCCCTCCTGTCCCTCCTCTTCGCCAATGATTACAAGTCCAATTCGTCAATTCCCAGCCCCAATTAACCAAGATAGGCGATTAAGAGGCAGAGATATAGTACCTGAAGACAACGACGGGAGAGGAGGATGCTATCTCCTTAGCCTTATTCAACGCCATTTCCAGTTCTTCCTTGCTCTTCCGAGTGCTTAGAATCGATCCCATCCCTATGTTTTTATAACAAGTATAATAATATAATGCGAGAGAATGAACACAGAGAAAGAATGCGACAGGTGTTAGAAGCTCCTTCAACCTACCTTCTTGCAGGCACGATAGCACTAAGCACGTAAACTTGTCAGAACGAGAGAGAAGGGGAAATAGAACAAGGCCAAAACAGGGAACAGGTGTCGTGATTCGCAGCCGCTTGCGATTAAGAAGAGGGGAGTTTAAGAACAAAAGAAGAAACAACAATTCTGCTTCTGTACATCAGCAGTGATCATATTCATCGGTGATCTCTTGCCGACGTTGCGCTCTTCACTTTCGTCTTCAACTTTGACCTTGCTTAGACATGAAGCTGGGAGGAGAATCACAATTAGGTACCAAGAAAGAGAAAAAAAGAAAAAGGAGAAAAAGGAAGTGATAAAAAAATTCCACAGATTATGCAAATGACAAAAAAAGTTTTCATGTCCTGACCCCACTTTAGTTCCTGAAAATTTTTTTGTCATTAGATTTTAAAGTAAAAAAATATTCTTACCTCTATAAAAGAGGGACGGCAATATGGCTCGCACATTCTCATCTCCATCTCTTCATTTCAAGCTTTTTGAAGCTATCCAAACAACAAATAGCAAGCTACATTTAACTAAAATCTTTCCCTACATTTATATATTTTAATGAAATTGTTCCCATTTTCTCCACAAAAAAACTGAATTAATGATAATGAAATGATATAAAATTTTGTAAAAAATAATGAAATTTGGTAATAAATTTTCCTCATAATTATTTAAATGTTTATAATTTATTTTTAAAAAAATTTATCAAAGATTTAACTATTATTAGTTTAATGTACCTCTTTACTGAATAAAAAAATTTACTTTAATCCTATTTTTTATTTTTTTTAACATAAAAAATGGGAGAATTGCATTTAAGCCCTCAAAATGAAAATATTTGCAAAAAGAACTAAATGATTCTGGTATTCTTTGGCAGCCCATGGACTTCATTTGCAATTATATTCCTTGACGACATTACCCAACTATCCCTCGTTTGAAAAAGGAGCTGTCTGGAAAATGCTCTTCGACTCCTCCTCTTCACTCGTTCTCTTTCTCCTCCAACACATATGCCAACAGGTCACTACTCCATCCCATATGAGAAACAAAGACTAGAATTGGGCAGAAGAACAAATTGTAGACGGTTAGCCATTAGAGGCGAGATTTCTCTCAACTGAAGGACAAGCTAGACCAAGTTTGTACACCCACCGGAAAGTTTTTGGGTTGTCCCATTTCTTCATTGACTAGTCCTATGGGTCCTCCATTGCTGAACTCGAGCTTAGAACTCGGGGTTGGAATTAACGAGTTTGGTGGTATGAGCATGGCGCCGTCAACATTGCTTTTAAGGCCAAATTTTGGGATTTTGAGCTAATTAGCCATAATGCCTCCGACAATGACATCGACGACGACCACGATGATTAGAGCAGTGGGGAGTTTGGTCAGCAGGCTTGACAGGCCGCTTGCCTTGGCACCCATGGATGAGCCGGTGAAGATGACGCACACTGACTAGCCTCTTTGGTTGAGAAGCTTAGAAAAAGCAAGAAGAGAGATTCTGGTCAACACAAATGAAGTAGTGTCTTGCTGGCATCTGTGTTGAAGGAGGAAACGGAAAAATGAAAGGGAGAAAGTAGGGCTGTAAAAAAGTCTTTCAGTCTTGTTTGATTTAGTCAAACTCAAGATGATCTCAATCTTATTCGGTCCGCATAGATACTGGTCTTTCAAAATTAAAAAGACTGAAAAGACCAAACTGTTTTCTTGGGTTGGACTGAATAAGACATTAGGCATCCGAACCACTTGGTCCAATTCAGTCCTATTAACTTTTTTATTATAATTATAATTTATTTATTTTTAACAAATGTTTCAAGTGTAATTGATGCTAAGGAGATGATTGTATCAAAATCTATTAAGTTTGTTTCTAAATTGTTATTGTAATACAGTATTGTTGAATTTTGTTAAGTGTTGTTTTTATTAAAGTTATAAATTTAAATTATTTGGATTATAACAAAAATATGTTTTTCTTATTGTTGAAAATTATTATTATTATTATTATTATTATTATTATTATTATTATTATTAGTGTTTTTACTATCTTAATTAAGTTTATTGGGTTGAAATGGATTATTGCCTCTCATAGAAAAAAAAAACTAAGTAAGTGCTGGACTGATAGGACGAGTCTTTCAATTTTATGGACCAAGTCTGATCCTATTAATCTTTTAGGTTATCACAGAATAAGATCAGACTACGAGTTGCCTAACCCAATTCTTTTTATGAAAGAAACCAAACTTTGAATTAGGGTGAAATCCAGTGCCGTTCTGTCCTTTGTACAGCCCTAGGAAGAAGGAGGGAAAGTCGAAGAGCATTTTCAAACAATTCCTTTTTAGGACAAGGGTAATTGGGTAATTTCATCAAGAATTCTAAATGTGGCCTTGAGTCTTCCTAAGAATATCAGAATCACTTGTAGAGCTAAAAATTCAGACAACATAGGCCTAATAGGTTTAAACTTAAATAGGCCTGACTTATTGAAAAATTTAAATAGTTAAGCTCGGCTTAAATTTTTTTAGGCTTTGGGCGACCCCCTGAATTTTATTTTTAAAATAATTTTTTATCAATGTTTATACTTTAAAATTAATTATTTTATTTTATAAAAATATAAAATATATATTTTTTATACTTAAACGATATATGGGACTCAAATATATGGTATTTTAGCATAAAAATGACCTAAAACTTAGAAAATTAATTAATATTTATTATATTTTATATATTTTTAAAAATAAATTTGTTTATTCTAGTATTAGCCCGAACTCGATCTAGCTTGACCCTAATAGGCTCAAATATAAAAAAAATTATATTTTTTTCTAAACTCAATCTTAAATTTTTTCGAGTGGATTTGAGTTAGCTTCGTCGGACTTGACCTAAATTATCAACTCTAATCACTTGAGCCAACTCTTACACATATAGTTCGACCTTATAATCCAGTCAAAATTTACCGTAGATTAATAAAAAAATTTATCAATTCCTCAGAGGTCACTGCAAATTACTTTTTTTTTTTTACCATCACTGTTAAATTATTTATTTAACATATGTTGTTTCTGAGGAATTTTTAAATTTTTAAAGGGTTAGATTTGTTAAATAAATTTTTTATTTTTTAAGTGAGGGCAATTTTTTTTTTTGGATATTTGTCAATATTTTCATTATGAGGGCTCTAAATTATTCTCTCTAAGGAAAATCTCGCCGTATCTATCGGCCAAGAAACATGTGATTCTTTTTTTTTTTTTTCTTTGAAAATTACTTTAACGTTGATCATCTGTTTGACGGGGATTCGGTTTTGCTTCTGGGCTTGGATTTGTCAGGAAAGACCCAAACTGCACACAGCACACAGGCTTTGTGTCTTCTCTATTTTTTTTTTTTACCGTTAGATACTGTTTCATAAGGAGATGTCAGCCCAAAAAGCAGCATCAGTGAGATGAGATCTTGTTTTCAAAAACTAAAAGTGAAATTATATATGTGGTCCAAAACCTAAATCAAGCTCAAGGCAAATGGACAGACTCTGGACCAAATCGTGTAGGGGGATTGAGGAAAGAAAAAACTTTGAATCGTCAATTCAGTTTAGTGTGAGTAGGGATATATTTTTTTAGACAATCAAATATCATTAACGACCTATTATGGTCAAGGAGAAGATTCTTGACATTTTTTACATAGAAATATCGTGCATGTTTTGAAAGCACAGTTATAAACTGCGAGAGAAGGAGAATAAAAAAGGGTAGGAGGTCAAAAGAATGATGACTTTGTCCCTCCGTCGTAGTTGTATGTAATTCAATGAAAAATATTAATGCTTGATCAAAGCATGTCTAAGTCCAAGATAGTGACTAGTTTATTTTTTGAATTTCGTATGATACATGGAATCCACGTAATTCACTAATTATTATTTAAAAAAAAACAATTGTTTGCAACGATTTATAAAGTACTTTCTCCCGACTCATGCATGTATTGCTACTAGTACCTATTCCATCATAATCAAAGAAAAATAGTTCAATTATTGTTTTACACACACACACACACACATATAATAATTTTAACAATTTATTCCTACAAAATGCATTGTTAAAAAAAAACTTTCACATGTAATATTTCACTCTACTTAAAAAATTGTGAAAAGATAAAATTGAAAAAAAAATTAATGATCCATCTTCTCACGTAAAATGATTTATATAAAGGATTATAAATTCTTTTTAGATCAAGGCTTATAAATAGGATGGAATTATATTGAATCTATTAGGACTTGTTTGTTTTCTGATTTTAAAAATTATTTTTTTTGAAAATATAAAATGAAAACAGTTTTAAAATTCATTGAATAAAAGTTACTTATCCAAACAAGATTTTAAAAATTTTCTATTTTTAAAAATAAAAAATAGTTTTTAAAAACAGAAAATAACAAGGCTTTAATCTCTGCATATATTTTCATCTTTAAAACAATTTTTAAAAAATGACACTAAAATCCCTCCAAATTATGTAAATAATAACTTAATCTATTAAAATATTATAATTTCATTAAAGTCCTTAGATACCTTCTAACATCCCAAAATTTAACCCCTGATTAACTAAGCCTAATTATGATGAATAAGTAAGTTGCAGTGGTGTGTGGTTAAGGAGGTCTAATGACTAATTTCAATTGTGTTTCAGCCCTAATTGTGGGTCTGGTATGAAATTGGGCCACTCGGGCATTAAATGGATAAGAAAATAAAGAGTTAGTGTTGCTGTGTCACACGCCGTAGCGTGAATCACATCCGTCGCAATGCATAGACCAATACTGGAATAAGAGGGGATCTCTTTGTGCCATGTGTCATGGCAAATTATGATGCATTCAGTGTCTGCCACAGCACACAGCCCCTCTTTTGTAGAAATAGGTCGCAAAATTGACATGAAAACTAGAGAAAAAGAATGAGAAAACGAGAACAAGCAACTAAGTTTTGCTAGAGTTTATTTTTGGACGACGTTGGGAGTATTTTGAAAACTATAAACACTAAAGGTAAGCATCTTACTTACTTATCTCTCATTATCTTCCTCATTTATGAGTTTTTTTATTAGGATTTGATAGTGCAAGATGATTTTTCGGTCCATATAAGTTATGAGTTCAAATCTATTGACTTAAAGAAGTTAATGAGAGTAAATTAGAGTATCTAAATCTAGATATATTAAGTTTTGCCACTTTTGATGGTTGGACCTTATTAATATATAAAAATGACATTAATGAGGGTTGTTAGAAGAGTTGTAATGGTATTAAGGAGAGTTTAATAGTTTGTTAATGTTATTGGGTACTAAAGACAGTTAATAAACCTAATAGGTAGG